CGAAAACCTAAACCTAATACATACATCCACCCACATCATCGCCTTTGATTAGTCCAACTCCGCCCAGTCACGCTCCTTTGGTCCGCGAACCCCTGTCTCATGGTATAAGTCACCGGCGAGCTTCAATCTAATGTCCGGTATGTTGGCGTGGCACAGCGTCTGCGGGAACTCCACACCAAGGGCGTGGCATTCAATGTACTTCATCGTGAACACTCCGCAGTCATTGATGTTAGTCTGTTGTGGCACTATCTCTTGGCCAATCGGCCGGTCATACGTAAAAGGTTCCAGAGTCCACATGTACTTCGTTTCCTCGTCAGCCAATGTCCTCATCAAATAAGGAAACATCACCGCCAATGGTTCTAAGAGTACATGTAACTCTGCCGGCTTCACGTGATGGGGTAGACTATCGTATACAGTGATATGCCTCTTCGGCAAGGAAATGAGCAGAGCTACCCAATGGTTAGTTTTCACGTTGAAAGGGACGTAAAGTTCGTCAATGTCGATTCCCCAAATCTTGTTTGTTGGCCGAGGCTCTGGTTGTGCACCTTTATAGTAATCCCACAATAGAGTTGGTAGTGGCTTCCCTTCGCCCTTCTTGTTAGCCTCTACCATCTTGAACTCATTGTACTTTGCACTCCAGTAGTGTCCAAAGTATGTGTCCACAAAGCAGATACGATCACTTCTGAACCACTCTGCGTGCTCCATCAAACATGTCCTCAGTAAAAAAACTGTTGCGTTCAAGTGCTGCATTGTCGAGAATGTTGGATTAGATAAATTAATGAAAGTCTACAACTGAAATTAACATAGCCTTCGAAAGGGTAACAAACCGTGTCTTCCAGCCACTCCTTCTGATTCAGAAGGTCATACCACCAAAATCTTATGGGATACTCCTTGGCTGTTTTTATGGTCTTCCTCTTTCCTGAACCACTGAACAAATCATATCAATAAGGTTATAAGCTTATCGTCAACATACTAAGTCTACTCACGAAGCTACATATAAATATGGAGTGAAGTCAACTTACGGAAGCTTCTTGCAGTACTCTATGACGGCTTTCTTCGTCCCCTTGTCCAATGGCGCGAAGGGATCATATCCACGTCCTCTAGCTCCATCGTTAGGTACTATACGCTTCGCCGTACTATTACCAATGTAAACACCACCTTGTGACTCCGCTAGTGTCATGATCCTCTCTGTCCTCCGCCTTTTCGCATCCATATCTTGGCCGTGTCCTTCGGTTGCCTTCTTTTTAGATACTCGATCGTGTCTGCTTTTGACGGCGTAATTGCCTCAGGAACTCGCAGCTGTCGTCCTTATCGTTGTCACTCTCGCAGGACTCGGCTGTCTGGTTCTACACCGACCGATAAACAGCAACAACGTAGCGTAATTATTAAGGGGTGTTAACATAGACAAACGATTCAATGAGCAACAAGTCTACATGTAACGTATACATGTGAAGTCTACAAGTGAAGTCTACATGTGAAGTGTACATGTGAAATGTATATAATATGTTCGCACGCAAACACGAAACATGTAAGGGAGAGTTGCAATTCAAACAACAATCTTCATGACTACTTCGTCTTCTTCCTGCCTCTACCTCTACCCGCCTTATTGCTAGTTGGTTTAGGATTCTCAGTCATTTCATTTTTTTTTTTGGCAGCAATACGAGCAGATTTAGTGCGAAAGGGATCATTACTAACCGGGGCAGCAGCTTCGGGCACCTTATCGGGAACATTAGAAGATTCGGGAACATTAGAAGCTTCCGGGAACCTTAGAAGGTTCGGGGACCTTAGCGTCTTAACCTTTGCAGCACCGGCCGGCTCTTCTTCCTTTCCTTCTCCTCCAACAGCCTCGTTGGACTTGTCATGCTCCTTATCTGCTGTATCTTCCGATGAGCCCTGTCTAAGCTTCTCGACAGCAGACTCCAGCGAGGTCACCTGGTTGGTGAGGAGCTCGACCTTGTATTCGAGCCTATCGAACCGGTTGGTGATTTGACCTGACTGATACACAGTGAACTGATCAAACATTGCCTGCAATGCGGACTGGATTGTCCCCAAACCAGCGTCGGAGGACTGTCCTTCCATCCCATAGGCATGGCATGGTCTCTTCACGGACAGGTCATCTGAATCCAGCAGTCTCTTCCTGGGAAAACCCTTCTCTGCCTTCACGTTATCCAAAACCATTATTCCTTCGCGGATCCAGTCGGATGGCTTCCATCTCCACACTCCACCCAGCTCACCATACAAGGCCTTGATGACGTTATCGACGTCATCATCCTCCACGTCGTTGTCCCACCTAGGGTAAGCATCCTCCCTCTCACCATCACCATATGATTGTACTCAACCTGCGATCATAACGATGAATATGGGGATGTTATGATATAACTAAACCATTTCTTATTGAACTCATTACGTACCTGCGCAAGAAGTCGAGGCATTATATTCTTACGCCCTTTCATTCCCCTGAATGCCATCAAAGGCGGAGATTGCGGAGCGGCATAGGGATCACCGTATTCTTCGCCGAAGGTGGGCATAGCGTAGTAGTCCACAGTTGAAGAACTTCAACAAACCCGCACAGAACGTAGTGCTTGCTGAGGTTGGCGCTTTTCACAGATTGAATGAGGTTCAAGAAGGCTACCCTCCCCCAAGGATAAGCCTCGAACTCTTCTAGGTCCATTACCAACTTTGCCATCCCCAGCGGCGTAGCAGTACTTTCCCTCGCTGCGATAATGAAACCAGCGTACACGGCTAAATAAGCCAGTCTCTTTTTGTCCTCCGTGACCAGTCTTGGGCCCATCCGCATGCTCGGATTAGGTTATCAATTGAAGGACCACTGGTGAGAGGAACACCGAGTTTATGCCAAAACTCAGAGAACTCATCTTCATCAACGTCAGCACAGGAGGGGGTCTGGAGATTCTCCGTGTACTCGCAGTTCAAACCGGTTATGTGTGCAAACTCGTTTAACGAGAACCTTACAGGGTTGTGCCCAACCACACTCCATATCTCAAAGGGTTTGTTGCACGCTATTTGACATGTAAGGATACACTTCACAATCATTGATGCCCAATTGAAAGTCCTCCTCGCGAATCTGAAGAAGACACCGAGCGGAGATCCCTCGAGCTCAGCCCATTCATCGTCGGTGAAGAGAGCGACAAGACTCTCAAACAGCTTAGTGTTGTTGCTGTAGTATCCGATGCTCTTCTCGGATGCAGGCTCGGAACCTTTGCTGAAAAACCTTCTAGGAAATGACGGCTTCTCCATCCTGCAGCATTATTAGAAGTTTACATGGAAGTCTACTGACGAAGTCTTGCAGAGAATCTACTGAAGATAGAAGTTCACCAGGAAATCTACAACCTAATTCATAAACCTAGGAATACAACCTAATTCTCCATACGATTGTAAGCGGGAATCGACTTTTACCTTCGATTCGCTACCACAAGGGGGACTGGCCACAAACAGCGGCGGAGACGGAATGGTCAAGTATTACGACTGACGGCGGAGGAGACGGATTACGGCGGCGGACGAAGTCAAAACAAAGAAAATGCGTGAGTAAGGAGGATTTGAGCCGATGTAAGTGAATAATATGTTTTCAAAACGATGGAGACGAGGGTCGCCGAGAAAGTAACTTACTTCGGTACAAAAACGAGGGGAGGCAAAGGGCATAATTGAATACGATTGCACGAACGAATACAGTCGGCGGAGTTATAGGCGTCCACGGCGTTTGAGTCGTCAGGAATCGTCCACGGCTTTGAGTGGTCGGGAATCGCGTGGTCGATGAGAGAATATTTTTTAGGGTTGAAAGAAGTGAATGAAACCAAATGAGGAAAGTAAGTTAAATTTGGACCGGTGGGGAACGGTTATCAATGCGGTTATCAGGAGCGGTTACCGGTTATCGGGGCGGTTATCGGTTGGGTTATCGGTTATGGGTGCAGTTTTCGGTTCTCGGTGCGGTTATCGGTTATCACTGCGGTTATCGGTTCGGGATCGCGAAATAATTGGTAAAACCCTAAATGTCAAAAACCCGCGAATTCTTCCCGCTTATTCCCGCTTTTCTAATTTCAATTTGTTGACTCCACCTTGACGTATACACATGAAGTCAACAAGGGAAGTCTCCTTAAACACGTTCCAGTTTCCGAATACAATGTACACTCGTAGATTACATCTTAATATAAAAACTATACATTCGACGGTAACGTTGGTAATTTACATCTTGATCTTTTAACATCTTGTTTACATCTTGTTTTAGTATGGTTATAGCAATAATACTGTACGGTCGTAGATTAACATCGTAGTAAACCACTTTCTTAAACCAATATTAACAGTCTACTTTAGAAGTCTACATTAGCACTCAACATTGAAGTCATCATTTGTAGGCTGTTTAGACGAGAAAATGCAACAAATATTATACAGCCCGTTCTGGGTTTTACGTTTCTAGATCCAACGGGATCCTTCATTACATATCCGTAACATCTTTTCAAACATCAAGAACACAGAAAACACCTTAACTTATCTAAACATAATCATGCATCCGCAGGCTATGATGATGCCGGCGAGGAGGACGACAAGCGCAATGACGATGTGAAGTACCGCTCCCCTGTGACGCTTGTTCTCCGTAAGAGCTAGGCGTTTCAGTTCACCTAGCTCTGCCTCAATCCGATCAGCAACTCTCAGGACACGAACGCAATCTCCTTGGTTGTCAGTAGCACGTCGCAGGAGAACGAATTCCTCCATCATAGCCTCGTCCCACCACTTCACTAGATGCAGGTCACAACCCTATAAAAACGACATATGGGTCTCACGATACATAGAGATGCGTAGACATGAAACAAATGACAATTGATGGAACTTACCACCTTTCGATTGACCTTATAATCTTTGCATCCAAAGAACATTCTACCCGGATACTCATCTGTGCTGTCCATTGTTTTCATCATCGTCGGCAACCCACAATAGCATAAATTAGGAATTCCATAGTGTCGACTGGTGGAGCTCACATCTGCTTCGTCAGGGCTAATCAACCTAACAGAGCTGCTTGAAGGTTGACTGTAGCTGTACCGCCCCATTCCTGTGTACGCCAAAACAGAACCCCATGCCCAAATTAGCTTACAACTATCAAAACAATAAATATTCCAACTATTGCATACTAAGGCTCACCCGTTACCGGTTTCCGTCGCAGATCTGGACACGAGAGTATGAGAGAGAAGCACGACCGACCCTTCCACGAACAAGAAATCAGATATTTAGTCTCAGTATAGAAGAAACGACATGATGACAATTCAAGAAAAATAATTCGTCGCCCCTTACCACAAATACGACGACAACGACGACTGGGGAGGGGACCAGAGAGAGAAGCTGCGCCGTCTTAGAGAGAGAAGCTGCGCCGTCTTAGAGAGAGATTCGTTTCCGCAGATTTAACAAAATTAGGGTTACGCTCTCTATATATATGAAGGTCGGTAATCCCGGTTTAGTTTAAAATTCCGGTTATGTAGACTTCGTGTTAAGTCTACATGTTCCGTCTACTTAAGAAGTCTTCCAACCCCTAAACCCTATGATCAAATATTTTACACAAAGAAACTTATGGAATAAAATAGTTTTCGTTGAATATACACAAATTACATTATAATCAACACATATATGAACATTAAATGACTATACAACGATTAAACTTGGTTTTCAAAAAATATTTGGCTAAACCCTAACAACTTATACTACCAAGCCCTATACTTCAAACCTAAACTCTATCCTTGATGGACCAAATGCTCATGAAACTTATAAACTTATACATTTTCATGAGTTTGTATTTTCCTTATATGAACATTGTATTTACTTAGATTAATAACAAAAATTTGTTAGCAAAATATTTTTTATAAATTTTAAAATTAAAATTTAAGATTTCGTAAAAACGTAGACTTCATGAGTAGACCTCTCTCCAAATTTATAGGTTTGTGGCATGCTTTGCCTCTGGTGTATTTAGACTTATACATTTTCAAGCAAAAATATTTTTAATAGATGCTAAATAACAAGGTCTTTTTTGTGTATAATGTTTTTGGTTTAATATTTTTCTTTAATTTTATAATTAAAATTTAAGATCTTAAGGCGTTGTAGACTTCGTTTTGAAGTCTACGTTTAGTTGACGTCTTACGTAGACTTCAACACCATGGGTAAATTGGTAATTGCGTCGCTCGTTTATTGTTTGTTCGTAGAAGATAAAAGGGTCATTAACCACCCCTTGGGGTATACCAATTGTCAAACATGTCATATGGGTATACTGTCACCTAAAAAAACAATGTTTGGGTATACCAATGGTAATTCCCCCAAAATCTATAAATTAATACTTGATAAATTGATAACTCGATAAATCAATAGAATTTTCCGATTCCAAACTAAGTTTTTGATTCAAATTATCTCCCGATAAATTAATAATTCATTAAATTAATAAAATATCATAGTCCCAACATTATTAATTAATAGAGTTTCTACTGTAGTTTTGTAAGATTATTACAGAAATAAACAAATATTATTTATCTAAATTAAATAAATTAGTTAAATTGATGGAATAGTTTCAAAAGTAATATTTGGATTGAAGTCAAATGCAAATGTAACCTACATTTTCTTCCTTTTATTTGGTTTATTATTATATTACTTAATAAAATCTATACTCTTATAAACAAATAAAAGTAGCAGAAAATAGCAAATTAGTTTTTTAAATACATTTTTTAAAGATATTTGTTTTTCGTACTTCCATTATGCATTATGAATTGATATTAGTAGATTAAATAAAATTATTAACACATATCCGCATGTAGTGCAGGTTAAAAACTTAGTATAAGAAAGAGGAGAGGAAGAAGTTGCATTGTAACATCCGTAGCACTTTTTCTGGGCTTTTTGCAGGTTGCGTCGGACGACGCAAGGTGTGCGATCGACCCAACAATTGCAAAATTGACCCGGTTTATTTTAATTGGTCCGGTTTAGCTGGTATCGCGAATTAAAAAGGGAGCAGCCGTCTCTTTTGTCGTTTTTTGGACGTGAACAGTAGCAGAGAAGAGCAAGGAGGCGATTGTGGTGTTTCGTGGTGTTCTTGGCTGAATCAGAGGTCGTTTGTAGCTGTTCTTCGTTGCTTCATCTCTCTTTTCTCTTTCAATCCATTTTAGAGGTGAGTGTGTGACTATAGGCTCGTGAATCACTAGAAATTGAATTTATTTGTTGAACCGAGTTAAATTGATTTGAGTTATTTAATTTATTTTTTAAAGATTTCTGCTGAGTATTGATAACTTGAATGGATTTAGTTAAAGAAACAATAAAAAGCTTGGTTGTTTCATACAAAAAAAAAAGAACGTGAATAGGTGGATTTATATTCATCATTAACTGCTGTTATTGAGATCGCAAAAAAAAAAAAAAAAAAAAAAACTACCGCGATAATCTCGACCGTCCGATTTTTCAGATCTCAATAACTTGAACACGCCGAGTAGATGATGTGACGTGATGTGGGGCCTAGAAGACAACTGCACAAACCTTCCTTCTCCTTGGAGACGAACCGTAATCGTTTTGAATATTTTCAATACGTCACATATGCTTCCGAGAAGATTGATTTTGCGAGATTGCAGTAAATTGACAAGATTTACACACTCAATCCCAACTGTCTGTCTTGAGTAAGTAGCCGGACTCTATCTTTATATTGACGTAAAACTTAAATACTTTAAATGGGATGTCAACAGTGTGATCTTATTGATATTTCATCCCAACTAAACTGCAACCAATGAGTTCGAATATACCCACAATCCTGGTATTTTATCCAGCTCGGTAGGATGCTGAGTTTTTCGAAAAAGAACTTAACCGCTCCTTAAGTTCGAAAATCACTTAAAGGGATAGGGGGCAATTGTTGGACTTAGATTTCACACATAAAATCCACCCTATTAGGGCCCATTACTATGATCCAGAATTTAACGCCGAAACCCACTTAAACCGAGAAGGATGATCTTGAGCCCACCAAGTATCTTCATCCAAGCCCAGCTAAACATTATCCGAGTTATTCCAAGTAGTGTAGTCAAGTTCCAGCTCGACTAAGGACCATGTCTTTTGGATAATCAGAACGAGTCAACCGAGGATCACACTTAATCCAATCGGGTCCGAATCATCGGGATTTGCACATCGAGATTTGCAGTTACACGTGGCAAGATACGTGGAGGAGGTTCATCTCAACTTCGAGAGCTATAATAGGAGCAAGACATCAGTTTGGAATGGATCTGATTTTTACATCCGAAAACACTTATAATCTTTCCAGATTACTCTTAGAAAGCCCATGTATTTTTCCTTTGAGTTCATTTATTTTTTCTTTAGAAATTTCTAGTAACCGTTTCATTCGAATACAAATCCCTTTGGTCAAACACTTTTGTGCATTCATTTGACTTACAAGAGGATATAACCCTAAATCTCCATACAATTTCTTATTCATATTGAATCAAGTCAAATGTAGTTACATATATAGCCATCATAGAGGAGAGCTAGAGGATACATTGTCAATTTGTCATCTCGCCTCATTGATCTTGACTCCAGCCATTGGCTTAAAGTCGCTGTCTTTGGGGGTCACAAAACTCGTGGAGTAGGACGAAGTAGCAGAAGCGCCTATGTCTTTAGTTTGAAAGACGTTGAAAGATGATTTTGAGGTGTCATCAAAACTCCAGTCGGTTAGGTAGCCTGGCTTAGAGGTGACAGCACTGACCTCAACGTCTCCTGAAAGCATGGCCACTACTCTTGACATGGGTGGTCTCGAGGAATAAGATGATTGTGTGCACAAGAGAGCAATGCCTATCATGCGTTTCACTTCTTCCATGTTGAATTCACTCAACTCGCTATCTATTAGTTCTACTTCCTGGCTTTTCTCGTGTAGGTTCCATGCCTGTATTGTATTTGTATACACCACCACAATTGAGGTCCACGATTAATATTAATAGATTAGATATCATGTTTTCTTGAGTAACAAGCAAGGACGTATATATGTACCCATTCAAGAAGATATCTTTGCTCACCCTCCAGCTTCACATCAGAGTTTTTCCTTCCACTGATAAGCTCAAGAGCCACGATGCCAAAGGCATACACATCCGTTTTCTCGGTTAGGTGTCCACGCATGGCATACTCTGGCGCTAGGTATCCACTTTTTTTGCATGCATTTTTTCAAACAACATCATAAGTTAACATGTGTTATAAATATACATTAATTAATTAATGTTACAAATGAAGAAGGAAAAAGTTGAGGAGACGTTTTACATGGTTCCTGCCACTTTGGTACTCATGTGGGTTTGCTTGTCATCGTAAAGTTTGGCAAGCCCGAAATCAGAAACTTTTGGGACCAGATTAGAGTCAAGCAAAATGTTGCTGGCCTTCACATCCCGGTGTACTATGCGAACACTCGCCTCCTCGTGGAGGTAGGCAAGACCTCTGGCTACTCCCATGCATATCTCAAAACGGGTCGACCAATCAAGATTTAAAGTCTTATCTCCTCCTGCAACAATGAGTAATTATATTCAGATTGGCAGAGATGCAAAAGAAAATGAAAAAAAAAGTCTGTAATTTATGTTCATTACCAAACAGTGAATGATCGAGACTTCCATTAGGGAGGTACTCATATACGAGCAAACGATGATCTCCTTCATAGCAGCACCCATAAAGTTTGACTAGGTTGCGATGCAGAACTGCAGAAATTGTTACGATTTCTGCAACAAATTGTCCCTTCCCTTGTCTGGATCCAACCGACAACACTTTTACTGCGATCTCTCTTCCATCATTTAGGTTTCCCTGTTGATCAATGTGTTAAATCATTACAAACAAACAAACATTAACATGTGTATTTTGTAGGTTTGGCGCTAATTTACCTTATAAACAGACCCAAACCCTCCCTCTCCCAGCTTGTTAGAGGTATCGAAATCTTGAGTGGCACTTTTAAGTTCAGAGTAAGAAAAAGTGTAAGGCTTTACCTCCATACCGAGTAGCTCTGCAACAAACAAACAAAATATGAACCAATTTGAAAAATGATATTCAAGCTCAAAGTTTGGTTTGTCTTGTTATTGTTACCTTCATCATCTGTGTAACGCTTTATTCTTTTTCGGATGATGAAGATAACCACGCCCGCAAAGATGCTCAACAGTCCTAGGCCAACAATAACACCCACAATAGTACCAGTCTTATAATTTCCCTTCGATGTTGGCCTATTGGCTACCGTTGGTGTGAAATCTAAACAACATGATATGTAACTATTAGGGAATAATATTTAGAAGGGATATTATATAGTACTACACTCACTATCAACCTGGTTTTGCACTGACGGCCGATATTAGTGGCCCGAAAGCACCTAGAATAGGAACACAGCATGTTCCTTTGCCAGCCCAGAAAAGATGAATTTCAAGGAAATTTTCTGATACATTAGCTTTATATTCTTTGTGAAGTGCTCGGATAGTAAAGTCACTTGTTGTTCTGCGTATCTCAAAATCCTTTTCAACAAGTCTTCCCTGGAAAAAAATGGAGCAAGAAGATTATTACACCAACAAGTTTATAAGTTTCTAGTTAATCAAGTAGCTAGTGCGCTGACCTGGACATAAATGTCAAAACGTCGTCTTCCTAAACTTGTCCAAGAGTTAGAACCAAGAATTTGTATCTCAGCAAACTGAAGTGTTACGGTATAGCCTCCATTTTCTAGGCCTAACCCATAATACCTTAGGGACGATGCAGATTGTCTTGCCGACTGAAAAAGCTCTGAGTCCACAGTGTTGACAACCCATATATTATTGCTCTTACCACCATAGATTCCAACGTTACTGACTCCCCATCTCTGAGCATCACTCACGAAAAATGAAGCTGTTCCAAGATCCTCGTCCTCCCTCTCAAATACTGCTCCGCTAACAGATCGTGTTTGTGGGCCTCCGCAGTTGATGGCAAAGTCAGAATCTAGACACACCAGTCAATAGAAGCAACTTTTTTTTTTTTTCATATATAGCACATGGAGAAGCAGAAGTGATTTATTTTTGTTACACTTACATATTCCTTTGCCTTGATTGCATGGGAAGTTCTTCTGCAGACACTTGAGTCCTGATAAAACCCTTTAACAAAAAAAAAAAAAAAAAAAACAGATTTATAAAAGAAGAAAAACAAATGAAATTGAATCTCAGGACCTCAGGCATCAACAAAAACATATTTTAGATAATCACCTCTTGCCAAGACCTCCTAAGGTGAAGTTGTTAGCAACAAGGTTGCTGAGAAAATAACTTACAGTTTTGTTATATAACTAATATATATATTTACTACACATAAAAAGGAAGCCAAAAACGTTATGGGATTGAGATAAACACCGAGAATATCTGTATATATATATATATATATATATTATATATATATATATATAAATAGTGTACTTTTGTTTACTTACAGTTTCAATTTTGGTAAACTGACCCATGAAGGCAGACTACCAGACAAATCATTATACGAAACATCTCTGAAAATATAAAAGAAGAATGATTAGGATATACAGAGAATATGTTATATATCTATTTCAAATGTACAAAACTTCAGTCTATATCAGGAATTCTAAAGATATATGATCAATTGTAAAGGACTTAATTTGTAACTCACATATTGCTCAAAGCCTGGCTCTTTTGAGTGGGCAAAGAACCGCTAAACGTGTTGTTTCCCAGAAACCTAATATATATAAAGACATGCATCAAAGTTTTTCCACAATTATCCGGGGAAGGTGTACATAAATAATATATAAGCAAGAAAACTTACAAGTGAGTAAGTCGGCTTAAGCTGAAAAGTGAAGCCGGAATTGGTCCATGTAGTCTGTTGAAGCTTAGATCACTGGAAAATACAGCACAAATTACACATTTAGTTCAGTGAATGGGCAAAAATGAGAGAACACATAATATCATCAGCAATGTTAAGATCACTAATTGGTATTCTCTCAGTGACTTTCGCAAATCATCTCATTCGTTTTACAGAAAAGACTTGTTGTACTCACACTTGTTGCAGACTCGAGTATTCCCCAATACTAGAGGGTATTGTCCCAGTGAGATTGTTGTTCCTCAATACTCTTCGACATAATAATACACAAGATTAGATTATAACCTGATCATGAATTGCGGTTAGAATTAGTAGAATCCAATTTGTCTTACAATACACTTAGAGATTTCATGTCTTTGATGAATTCAAGAGAAGAGCCTCCATTGGATATACCACCAAGACTCCTACATTTAAAATATGATTATGCGGAGGAGAGAGAGAAAACAGTAAGTAAGAATGATTCTGACAACACATACAGTTCTGTCAAAGTAGTTAAGTTGGAAAATGACGATGGTATTGGACCACTTAAACCAGTTCCTACAATTTTCCTGCAGTAAAACATTTTAGTTTCCCTGATTAATTTTCCGAATAAAGCTAAAAAAAAACAAAATACTGATATATAACTCTATAAAAATGAAACCGTTCTTACAAGGAAGTAAGTTTGGTCCATTTTCCTATATATTCCGGTATCCGACCAGTAAGTTCCACATCTGTAATCCAACTGATACAAACAATAAGGAACATTATAAAAAATTAAGGTAAAAAATGTAAAAATCGAAGGATAAACTTGATTATATGCGAATTTAATATATATATATATATATAAAAAAAAATTGAGTTCTCTTCTTAGGTTTTGCCACATCATTTATGATGTCTAAAATCATGAAGCATCATTATGTTATTTGTTCATTTCTAAATTATTTAATTAATTTATTCTGTTTTTATTATTAAATTTTAATTTTCATAATAACTATCATACATTAATTTAACAGGTTTAGCTACAGTTTGAAAAGACATTTTGAAAAGGTAACTTATATATTTATTCACCTCAAGAAAAATATAATTCTATAATTTTAGTTTTAAACTTCTATATATAAAAGTTTATCAAAGTATTTATTTACATCAAATGGGTAAAGTAAAACATATGTAAGATGCAAGTATGCAACATAATATTCGAGTAAACAATGAAGAAAATCTTATTAAAATAGTACAACATTTAAGTGAAAATGATATGTTGAAAATGAGTAGAGAAAAATAAAATTTGAGAAAGATTATGAGTACCAAATTAACACCGTACCAAAATATTATTCATAATTTAATATGTTACATTTAAGAGAGAGAGATAAGAGTGCAAAGGGAGATGGAGAGGGAGAGATAGAGATAGATATTAGGAAAGTATCTTGGACATACATCATATCATTTTGAAATATATCAATATTGTTTGTAATATATAAGTATAGTTCGAAAGAAAATAATATTTATTTTTTATCGATAAAAATTCATTAATGCATATGACGCGGATCGCCCACTTGAATATTAAACTTTAATATTTATTTGAATTATTTTATTTTTTTTTATTATACTTTAATTGTCATAATTATTATCATGTATTAATACATTACTTTTAACAAAAATTTATGGAACAAACATATTGGAATATGAAGGAACATGACAGAAAGAAACGAAAAGGGACAAGAAGTAATGAGATGGGATTGGACAGGGTGGAGCGGGACAAGAAGTAATGAGAAGTAATTAGACGGGACGGAAAGGAACAAAACAGATGGGGAATGAACAGAACAGGATGGAAGGGAATGAGACAGGACGGGAAGGAACGGGATGGGATGGGATGGGACAGAACAAAAAAAATTGGGAAGGAACAAAACATGACTTATTCCCAAAATTTTTATTTAATTACTATACATATGATATTCTTATAACACAAAAAAATAAATTACAAAACTTGATATGTTCAAATTTTAATGTAAAATTCCTTGCAAAGTGCGGATCATTACCTAGTAATAGTTAAAAAAAAAAAACTTACACTTCTTCCAGCTCCACAAGATTAGCCAGTGACAAAGGTATTCCTCCTCTAAGTCCAGAACTTCCTATGTATCTGCAATAAATTAATGTAGAAATGCTTACAACAATACTAGATGATTTCGCAACGTTATTAATTAAGTTTTCATATGGAGTACTCCCTCCGTTTCATATTAGTTGTCGTTTTGAGAAAATAAATCTGCAATATATATGAATGTATTAAACTCAAAATACATTCAGATACATCCAGATATATTGCAGATACATTTTCTCAAAACGTCAACTAATATGAAACGAAAGGAGTATGACTTAAATTTTGTTGCAGAAACGAATACATAAAAGTACTTAATTTGTATATTCTCACATTTTCCGTAGTTTTGAACAATTCCCAATCTCAGCTGGTATAGAACCGGAAAATTCATTTGAACCAATACCACTTCTTGCAAAAAAATTACACAAGACAACATAGGTTTAACAATAATAAGAAAGCATCAAAATCTGACATCCAGTAGCAACTCTATAAATTAATAATGTTAACACTTTGATACTTTATTAATTTATAGAGTTACTAATTTATCGATTAACTAAAATAAATTTTTATTAGTAAATAGTTGAAAAAAATAATATGTTTTTACAAATTTATAATATTTTATGAAGCTTCATTTTAAAATTAGAGATAAGTTGTAGAAATATTTGGATTTAAATTATAACAAACAACAGTCTACTTATATTTTAATACATTATTATAGGTTATTTTTTGTTATGACTTATTTATGATAGTTATGATATTATTTATACCATATTTAACATAGAATTTAAAGAAAACTATTATTCCCTCTGTTTCATATTAGTTTTCGTTTTGAGAAAATGTATCTGGATGTATTTTGAGTTTAATACATTGAGATACATTGAAGATATATTTTCTCCAAACGATAACTAATTTAAAACTGAGGGAGTATCTTAATTATCTTATCGAATTGTGTCATATTTTACACCTGTTAGAACTGGAGAAATTTATTAAATTATCGAATTTATTAATTTATTAAATATTGATTTATAAAGTTCTTATTGTATTTGATATCTTAAAAAAAAAAGCAGCTTACAACGATTTCAAGTCTGTAAGCAAACCAATTTCCTTGGGAACGGGGCCAGAAAAAGCATTAATCCCAAAAGTCCTACAATAGTTGAGAAGAAACAGACAAACGATTGGAGCATGAGAGACAAGAAAGAGAGATTGGAAGAAGAAGGTTTCATTTCAATCAAGTCAACAGCCTTACATCCATTCCATTCGGATCAAGTTTCCAATTGCAGGAGAAAGTGAGCCTGTAAGAAAATTTTGAGCCAGGTTCCTGAAAGAAATGAAGAGGCATGTGATTTTAAATGCATTTCCAGGTTTTCTTTTTAATCATGATGATAAGAAAAAAGAAAAGGAAAAAAATTTAAGTCTATACAGATTTGTGAGGTAAATCAAAGTCCAGAGCTGTGGAGGTATAGGTCCTCGAACATCTTTCGCATAAACCTTGCTGCGAAGTGAAAGTGAAACAACAACATGGCAACTTTCAGTTTTAGTGTTGAGTGCACAAAGACATAAAAAGATGAAAAGAGAGGTTGTACTGTACAGGGCGGTGATGCGGCATCGTGTGGAGTTGGCGTAGTTGCAGTCGCATTTTATAAGAGGGTTGTAGGCTTTGTCGTCGATGGTGATGCTCTCGTCGATGGCGGCGCCTGAGCAAAGTTCACCGCTGATGTTCCATTCCTTCGGCGCCTGGATCTTCCAAGCCGCGAAGATGGAGTTCAAAGCTTGCGCTGTTGTTTAATGTTTATCCCACAACAACCAATTAGTTTTTTGAAAAACCAAACAACAAATTGTAATTAATTAACTTTTTCCAAGTGTTCAAGGACAGAGCAGAGATCACCTTCGTCCGGATGAGTAGTGGCTCCGGTTCCGTTTTGAGCTCGAACCAGGTGAACCGAACTGGAAATACACATGAGGAACCAGACGGTGAGGAGGAGACACATGTGCATCGCTCTCCACGATTTTTTTTTTTTTTTTTTTTTTTTTGGTTAACAACAACGGTTTGTCTGTCAATTACACTAATAGCTTCAGCTTTGCGTTTATCGTCTCCTTAAATGTTAAGTGTCTTAAATTGTTTTATTTTTATGGTCTTCCGTTATCTTTCTTGACTTGTATTCATTGACCTATATATGTACCAACCATTTAAAACTTAATAAGATTAAGTGGACCACCCTCTTTTCATAATGATCCAATTACAATTCATATCTGATGATGCCATTTTTCGTGGCTCTTTCCTCCAAGCTGATGATGTTTAATTTGGTAATATATATCCACTTAATTATCAAGAGAGAGTTGGGAATATGAAAAAAAATTTAAGCAAGTGGATATCAAAGATGGTAAGCAATTTTGTATTTTGATAATGCATTAGCCGTCGGCAACTTGCTGTTTTATTTTTTATTTTTGAGCAACTAATTAGCGATTGACTGTTTAGCGATTGCATCAGCTAACAAATTAGCTGAGCGTGGAATGAAAACAAAAGATACACATCGGAAACAAGATGATAGAGCTTTTTGATATGAAAGATGATCTCTATGATTTCTTTTAGTTGTTCATTTCGGTTTATATATAGCTCGGATGAGCTCTTGGGCATCTGATTGGATCTGCAGCGAAGAGAAGCCCAATTCATGAGCGTGGTTTGTGGCTGGACGAATTGCTAGAGCTTCTGCGGTGAGAGGAGACAAAAAAAAGTCCCATGCTAGAGCATCATGGCTGATGCCGGTTAAAAAGTCCCATCCCATTCCTGTAATCTTATCTTTTTCTATCCATGCCACAACTTGTTGTTTTCTCTTCTTAAGTTCTTCTGATTTACATCTATTCTATTTAAAATGTTTTAAGAGTTAGTGGTTACGACTTCTAAAGTTGGCGGAAGTAAAATGAGGATTTTTAAAAAAAAATTAAAGGTTCACAAACAAGCAAACAAAGCCTTAATGACTTATGTTGTATTTTTGTATGGGGCTAATTTGCAAAATAGTTTACTGATAATATGTAGGCTTATTTAAACAAATATACTTAAGTGAAAGTAGGCATGGGCGTTCGGGTTTCGGTTCAAGTTCGGGTCTTTTTGGGTTACTAAATTTTAGACCCGTTCGGGTTTATACAAATTTTGGTTCTTATTCCGGTCTTATTTCTGATTCGGGTCCGTTTTTATCGGTTTTTTGAACCGAATATCCAAAATCCTACAAAATAATCAAAAAACTTGTCTTTACTCCATCTTCTACTAAATGTTTTAGGACTTTTCAAATATTTTTGTTATTTTGTTCTAAATATAACTATTATATTAGATTTATAATTGTAGTTTTAGTTATTTTTTATTATTATAAGTCTAAAAAATAACATAATTATATTTTAGATATTTCGGGTATCCATTCGATTCTCGGTTCGGTTCCGATTCGTGTACGTTTTTTCGGGTATAAGAATTTTGGACCCATCGGGTATTCGTTTTGGTTCCGGTTAGGTTCGGTTCTGGTCTTCGGTCCGTGTAAAATGCCCAGGCCTAAGTGAAAGTATGAATGATACTGATGGCAAAAATATGGACACAAGTGAAAGTCTATCTAAAACAAAATATATTTTCGGTTTTATCATTCGTGAAAAGAATAGAGTTTTCTTATCCACTCTCATGAAAACATTTGCATTTACTTTGATTGTAACATCCGCAAACCAAACAATTAAAAATTGATTTTCGGTTTAATTTGTGTGAAATTGGGTCCGATTTAGCCCGGTTAAGGGTTGGAAACCCTTATTTTCGTTTTAAAGGAGAAGCAGCCGTCTGTTTATTACGTTTTTCGAGGCAGAAAAGGAGAAAGACGATTTTGAGAGTTCTTGGAAAAATCCGATTTTACTGTTCATCGGGTACTGTTCATCGGTACTGTTCATCCGCGATTTGACACTGTTCATCGTCTTTCCTTTTTCCTTCAGTTTCAATTTGAGTGCATGACTGTAGGTCCGCATCTAGATTTGATTTGATTGAATGTTGTTCTTTGAGGTGTTCTTATGATATATTTATGTGATGATGTTTGGTTGTTTCTGTGTGAATTTGTGTTTTCTGGTGTTTTGTTGATATTCTGTTGACCTGAATTGCGTTTCGACACAGGTTTGTCTGGTTCAATTGGAAATTGATTTTTGGTTCAATTAATGATTACTGGTTAATCTGGTTAAATGGTTTAATTCGGATTTAATTAATTAAATGATATTTAATTAATTAAGAGGCTTAAAATAATTATTTAATTATTTTAAAATATGAAAATTATTATTTAATTATGAGAATTATTTAATAATTGAGAAATGAGTTTTAATTATTTAATAATTGTAGTTTATAAATATTATTAAATATCTAGTAAATTGCGTAAATGGCTCGTAGGCAGAGTGATTGCCTCACTAAGTATTTATTAAATACTTACGCAACTCCATTCCAATGTGTTGCAGGTAAAAGATTTGTGTGATCGCGGAATCAAGGCTGAAGAGGGGGATGATAGGATGTTTATTGCTTTTTTGCTATTTAATTATTATTTGCTTCCGCTGAACTGATTTATTTGTTATTGATATTTATTTATTTAATTTATTTTAAAGACCTTCGCTAGAATTGATTAGTATTTATTAAAAAAAAAAAAATGTTGGTTGTTTCATTTTGGTATCAGAGCCTAGACGGTTTTAGGACTGTTAGAATTGCTAGGCTTTAGTATCATCCCCTTCAGCTACAAGAGATTCCGCGGTGAGTTTATGTTTGTTTTGAGTTTTGGTTGTGTTCTAGTGTGCTCTTTTGGTTCCATGAGTGAGATGGACGGAGTAGCTAGAGGTTGTGGCGCGAGAGGGCGCGGTGCTCGAGGCCGTGGTGGCAGAGCTAGAGGCCGTGGAGGCCGGGGCCGAGGTTGTGGACTTCCGGATTCGGGAGAGAGTGTGGCGCCTAGTGTGGCGACTGCGTCGGTGACCCAGTCGGTATCCGTGGCGAGTGAGGCCAGTGTGGATGCGAGTGTTGGTTTGGGAGCGGGGGCTGCTCCGGGTGGGGGGTGCTCCGGCTCAGGGTCGTGATGACTTAGTGGTGGGTTTGCTGACGCAGTTATTGGCTCGTTTTCCGCCAGTGGTTCCACAGGGGCTCCGGGAGTACCTCCAGTGGCAGAGGTGCAGCAGGGGCTGCGGGTTTTGTTCAGCCGCAGGCTGTGGGTTTGATGGTGCCGCCTATTTGGATATGATGGGGCACATGCAGAGGATTGGTACGCCGTACTTTAGGGCGGAGTTAGCCCAGAGGCGGCAGATTAGTGGCGTTAGAGATTGGAGCGGAATTTCCAGTCTATCAGATGTTTGTTTAGTACCAGGTGGAGTTAGGCAGTCCACTATCTGAGTGGTGACGCGCATTTGTGGTGGTTGTAGTTTGTTCTTTTTGTCTTGATAGAATTGTTGAGGTTCTCAACGCAATTGAATGTGTAGGGACCTTGTTAGTGGGCGGTTTTGAGTCCCACGTTTTATTCGACTCTGGAGCATCGAATTGCTTCATTACACCGGAGCGTGCCGAGAAGAGTGGCATCCGGAGTAGCGCGGGCGAGAGCGCGGGCATGGTCAAGGTGGCGGGAGGTGGATTCTTGTCTACTTTGGGCCGTGCTAGAGGAGTCGAGATCGAGATTGCGGGGCAGTCAATGCCAGCAGACTTAGTCATCAGTCCGGTGGAGCTGTATGACGTTATTCTCGGGATGGACTGGTTGTCACACTACAGAGTTCATCTGGATTGCTACAGAGGTAGAGTGGTCTTCGAGCGAGATGCAGGGAGGTTGGTTTATCAGGGAGTGAGACCGACTTCCGGGAGTATTGTGATATCTGCTATTCAGGCCGAGCAGTTGTTAGAGCGGGGCTGTGAGGCGTATCTGGCGACGATTTCTATGTCTGAGTCAGGAGCTGGAGTTGTTATGGGAGATATTGAGGTTGTCCAGGATTTTGAGGATGTCTTTCAGTCACTGAAGGGATTACCACCATCTCGGTCTGATCCTTTCACGATTGAGTTAGAGCCGGGGACAGCACCGATATCGAAGACGCCTTACAGGATGGCGCCAGCTGAGTTGGCAGAGCTGAAGAAGCAGATAGAGGACCTTTTGTCTAAGGGGTTCATTCGACCGAGTGTTTCACCGTGGGGAGCACCGGTGTTGTTTGTGAAGAAGAAGGATGGGAGTTTCAGACTTTGTATCGATTACAGAGGTCTTAACCGAGTCACTGTGAAGAACAGGTACCCACTCCCGAGGATTGATGAGTTGTTGGATCAGTTGAGGGGTGCTACTTGGTTCTCCAAGATTGACTTGGCATCGGGGTATCATCAGATCCCGATAGATGAGGCAGATGTCAGGAAGACTGCTTTCAGGACGCGTTATGGGCATTTTGAGTTTGTGGTTATGCCTTTCGGTTTGACTAACGCGCCGGCAGCCTTCATGAGATTGATGAACGACGTGTTCAGGGAGTATTTGGACGTGTTCGTCATCATTTTCATTGATGATATTCTGGTATACTCGAGGAGTCAGGAGGAGCATGCGACTCACTTGAGGTTGGTTCTGGAGAAGCTTCGGGAGCAGAAGCTTTTTGCTAAGTTGAGCAAGTGCAGTTTCTGGCAGCGAGAGATGGGATTTCTTGGCCACATTGTTTCTGCAGAGGGAGTTTCTGTGGATCCGGCTAAGATTGAGGCTATCAGAGATTGGCCTAGACCTAGTAGTGCCACCGAGATCAGGAGTTTTCTGGGTTTGGCAGGATACTACAGGAGGTTCGTCAAGGGGTTTGCTACCATGGCGCAGCCGATGACGAAGTTGACCGGGAAGGATGTCCCTTTGTTTGGTCAGCTGAGTGTGAGGAGAGCTTTAGTCAGCTCAAGGAGATGTTGACTACTACACCAGTGTTGGCGTTACCCGAGCCAGGGAAGCCTTACATGGTGTATACAGATGCTTCAGGCATTGGTCTTGGTTGTGTGCTGATGCAGGAGGGCAGAGTGATAGCATATGCTTCGAGACAGTGGCAGGGCAGTGAGCGTAACCGTCCTACACATGACTTAGAGTTGGGAGCAGTGATCTTCGCGTTGAAGATTTGGAGGTCTTACTTGCTAGGTGAGACAGTACAGGTCTTCACGGATCACAAGAGTTTGCAGCATATCTTCACTCAGCCGATGATGAACGCGAGACAGACGCGCTGGGTTGAGTTCTTGGCGGACTATCAGGTGAGCATTAACTACCATCCGGGCAAGGCTAACCTAGTGGCGGACGCGTTGAGTAGACGGAGGTATGATTCCGCAGTTGAGCGAGATGTGGAGTCTCTGGTTGGCGAGATCAGTACCTTGCGTTTGTGTGCCATTTCGCAGGAGCCTTTGGGTTTAGAGGCAGTGGATCAGGCGGATCTACTTAGCAGGATCAGAGTTGCTCAGCAGAGTGATCAGAGTTTGCTGGATGCGACTAGAGTGACTGGTTCTGAGTATGAGGTCTCTGCGAATGGGACTATCTTGGTTCGTGGGCGAGTTTGTGTGCCTAAGGATGTGGAGTTGAGACATCAGATTTTGGGAGAGGCTCACGCGAGCAAGTTTTCCATTCATCCGGGAGCGACCAAGATGTACCATGACCTCAAGAGGTACTATCATTGGGTCGGGATGAAGAGGGATGTAGCAGACTGGGTTGCGAAGTGCAACACTTGTGCCTTGGTGAAGGCAGAGCATCAGGTTCCGGGTGGTCTTTTGCAGAGTTTACCCATTCCAGAGTGGAAGTGGGACAGGATTACGATGGATTTCGTGGTTGGACTACCTGTTTCGAGGACTTTCGATGCTATCTGGGTGATTGTGGATCGGTTGACTAAGTCCGCACATTTCTTGGCCATCAAGAAGACAGATGGAGCTGCTGTCTTGGCTAGGAAGTTTGTGCGAGAGATTGTGAGGCTGCATGGAGTGCCAGCTAGTATTGTGTCAGACCGTGATCCCAGATTCACTTCAGAGTTTTGGAGAGCGTTTCAGGCAGAGATGGGCACTAAGGTGCATTGAGTACAGCTTATCATCCGCAGACAGATGGTCAGTCAGAGAGGACTATTCAGACTTTGGAGGATTTGCTGAGGATGTGTGTGTTGGATTGGGGTGGCCATTGGGCAGATCACCTGAGCTTAGTTGAGTTTGCATACAACAACAGCTTTCAGGCGAGTATTGGCATGGCTCCATTTGAGGCTTTGTATGGGAGGCCATGTAGGACACCCCTATGCTGGACCCAAGTGGGGGAGCGCAGCATGTATGGAGCTACTTATGTTCAGGAGACGACAGAGAAGGTTCGTGTTGTGAGGCTGAACATGAAGGAGGCTCAGGATAGGCAGAAGAGTTATGCAGATAGACGCAGACGAGAGCTTGAGTTTCAGGTTGGAGATAGAGTTTATCTCAAGATGGCTATGTTGAGGGGTCCTAACAGATCCATAGCAGAGAACAAGCTGAGTCCGCGATTTATGGGTCCGTTTCCAGTAGTGGAGCGAGTTGGGCCATTGGCTTACAGGCTGGAGTTGCCTGAGATTATGAAAGCCTTTCACAAGGTTTTTCATGTGTCGATGCTGAGGAAGTGTCTTCACCCTACAGAGGAGTTAGTGGCTAGGATTCCAGAGGATCTTCAGCCAGATTTGACAGTGCCGGCAGTGCCTGTGAGGATTTTAGAGAGGAGGGAAAAGGTTCTGAGGAACAAGAGGATTCCCTTACTGAGGATTTTGTGGGATTGCAGTGGTTCTACAGAGGAGACTTGGGAGCCAGAGGCAAAGATGAAGTTGAAGTTCAGGAAGTGGTTCGACAAGCAGGTCGAGGAGTGAGCTTATTTCATCTTTGTAGCCTCAGTTGTTATTTTTGGCTTTGGTGTTATTGTATTTTCGTTTTCGTTGTAACGATATACATTTTGGAGTTTTAATGAGATGCAGTTTTTCCTCATTTTGCCTTGTGTTGTGAAATGGTATTCGGATGTTACACATGTTTGACCAGTTTTTGGTTGTGAGACGGTCTAATCTTATGGTTATAGACATTTTCCGGAATTTTTACTCTAAGGATTGCGATCCTGAATAACTCATCATGTTTTTGGAGACTTCGTTCTCTGGCAGACTCTCTGGGTGCAAGTAGGCCTCAGTTGAGTGTAGCTTATCTGGGTGCAAGTAGGCCTCAGTATAAGCAGTTTAGTTCATCTGGGTGCAAGTGGGCCTCAGTATGGACGTTTTCGGGTTCGTCTGGGTGCAAGTGGGCCTCAGTGCGGACCGGTGTGGACTTGTCTGGGTGCAAGTGGGCCTCAGTACAAGTTGTTTGGTGTGTTTGGATGATGAGTTAGGAGTGAAATTTTTTGGAACGTGCTTATGACATAAGATTTGACGTTGTCTCGGGGATCAGGTGAGGATCTCCAGTTGTTGGCCTTGCGAGGTCGGGTTTTTGGTCTTTGTGACGTTTTGTTGGGATTCGAGGTCGAATCCAGTTTAGTGGGGGAGAGTTGTAACATCCATAAACCAAAAATTAAAAATTGATTTTCGGTTCAATTTAAGTGAATTGGGCCCGGTTTAGCGGTTTAGGGTTGGAAACCCTATTTGTTTAAAGAGTGCAGCCGTCTTTCTTCAGTTTTTCGAGCAGAGAGAGGAGAAAGAGTTTTGAGAGTTTTGGAAATTTCGATTTTACTGTTCATCGGTACTGTTCATCGGTACTGTTCATCGGTACTGTTCATCGTTTCATCGTTTTCCTTTTTCCTTCAGTTTCAATCCATTGTCAAGGTGAGTGCATGACTGTAGGTCCGTGATTTGCTAGATTAGGATTGATTGAATGTTGTTCTTGAGGTGTTCTTATGATATAAGGTTTATGTGATGATGTTTGGTTGATTCATGTGTTAATTTGGTGTTTTGTGTTTTTGTTGATATCTCTGTCGAATGCGTGGGCGAATTTACGCGAAGTGATTTGGACGCAAAGCTTGCGTCGGTTTCTGTCTGGTTCAATTGGAAATTGATTTCTGGTTCAAATTAAGTGATTTCTGGTTAAAATCTGGTTAAATGGTTTAATTCGAATTTAATTAATTAAATGATATTTAATTGAATTAAGAGGTTTAAAATAATTATTTAAATTATTTTAAAATATGGAAAATTATTATTTAATTATGAGAATTATTTAATAATTGAGAAATTGAGTTTTAATTATTAATTATTTAATAATTGGAGTTTATAAATATTTATTAAATATCTAGTAAATTGCGTAAATGGCCTGTAGGCAGAGTGATTGCCTCACTAAGTATTTATTAAATACTTACGCAACTCCATTCCAATGTGTTGCAGGTAAAAGATTTGTGTGATCGCGGAATCAAGGCTGAAGAGGGGGATGATAGGATGTTTACTGTTTTATTGTTTTGCATTATTTTGCTAGACTTGTTTAATTATTATTTGCTTCCGCTGAACTGATTTATTTGTTATTGATATTTATTTATTTAATTTATTTTAAAGACCTTCGCTAGAATTATTAATATTTATTTATAAAAAAAAAAGTGTTGGTTGTTTCATTGATACTTTTAATAAAATCGTTAAATTTCTTTTTTCGTGCCATCGATCAGAATTTCTTAGGATACTAGATTTAATGCAACTGTGGAAAAATAATTGGTTTTAGACTTTGAGTATACATTTTACTAGTGTGGATTGTACCTGTGATTACAAGTCAAATCATCTGCTTCTCAAAATGTTGGAACTCATTTTTGATAGTATATTTATATCAAAAAATGAAGTTGGTTTGAATGAGAAATGGAGGTCCAAGTGGATTGTTTGTAATAGCATAAAATGTAACATTTGTAAAATGCCCCACATTGGAAGTTTGAGGTGAAATCCTCTTGTATATAAAGTGGAGAAATTGAAACAAGGTTTAAAAACTTGTGTGGTGTATTAGAGAAAGAAGATAACCAAGCTATACTTATGTTTCAGGCCTCGGGAATTGGCAGTCCAGCCAAAGTTTATAAAATTATTCTTTTGACCATAAATTCTATTGTTGAATTTTGTTGTTGATTAAGTCAACAAAAATATCTTCTTGAAATTAATCACAATTAGTTTTGTAACATCAAATTTAATTGTGTTATTATGATGAAAGTTTGACTCATCATCTCTCCTCTTTAAGTTGATGCATGGGCTATATAAACAAGCCATGTCTTGTTCTTCTTATGATTAAGAGAGTATCAATATCATTCATACAAGAAACAATTTTCCTCATCTCTTCTTTTGTTTTTTATTTTTTTTATGAGAGTACATCACATAAAACATGGTTTAAGAGCTTATGATTTGGGTGATGCAATCATAAGGAGTATGCAATTTTATCATGGGATTCGGAACGCTATGCAACTGTCACACTATAGGGCGTTTATAGAATTAAGGAAAAAGATAATATCTCGATTCTGCAAATCCAGTTTTATTTCCCTTAATTCTTGTTTATTTATATCATTTTAATATTTTGTTATATTAATTTTTTTCATTTTAATACTTTACATTAATCAGTCGCCCATTGTAGAAATTGAGTTCTTACACAAAATACATTTGTGTCGAAGAACTGTTGTTGATTGTTGTGAAGATTGTCCCATTCATGTGCCTGAAAAGTATCTAGCGTTTCGGAGAAATTTCAGATTGAAAATGTTTTAGTTGGTTCGAAAACATAGCCCTACGCTTGCTTTCGTTAACATAATATGTGTCTTGCAGATGTTCTCGGGCTAGGCAGGTAGTGTCCACTGAATTCCTAAACCACGGAATTGGAATTCGTGAAAAAGTAAAACTAAGGGAAAAGCTAAATTCAAAGTTTAATGTGTATCTTTGTAAAATAATGTAAATGTATAAAAGATTAGATGTATATCAAAATATCAAAAGGAAAAACATAAGTGATTCACCACCCTGTGTTATTGTTATTTATCATCCACATGTCTCTTGTGGTTTTCGCTTGACTCTACTTTGCACATATTCTCCTAAACTTGAAGTAACTAACCAAAAGACATAGAACCGAGGACTAATAAACGATGGTTGATCAAGCCAAAAGAAATAAATTAATATTTAAAAGAAAATTGTCTAAGATAACCTGAAAAATTAACCACTATAGTTAGGATAACCCATCAGGAATTATATTACCCTGTTTTCCTTCTTGTGTTTTCAAAATTTCCAAGTTGCCCTTTTTATTTCTCTTATTATTTTCTTTATAACTCCTATTATTTGAATTCGAAAGTTCATTAATAACCTTAGTCATATTAAATGCTTTCCTATTTTATTTTCTTTTATATTTATTTATACAATATAATAAACCCTAAAACATCGTTTATGTTTTTTTTTTTTCTGGGGTTCTGAAATTGGTTCATCTTCTTCGTTGAAGCCATTGTCGATTGCTCTCAGAAGGACTCGTGAGACTAATATCGTGATTCTCTCTTTCTCTTTCTCTTGTTGATAAAAAATCATATTGTGCAAGTTCTCTTTATTCGATAGCTCCTCTCTATTCATTTGGTAATTGATAATCTTATTCATTGTAGGATGTCGAGTCAAACTAACGTCGATTTAGGATTTCCTTTGCGGTTGTATTTATTGGGTTGTCAGCCAAAAGCCAAAAGAAGCATCAACCACCACAGTAAAATCGAATTTTTAGAATCTGTTGAAAATGCTGTTGGAGAAGATGTTTTGAACAACATTCGTGGTTCTTCTTTGGGAGTAATTATACAGTTTGTTGGGAATAATTTCACGTCGTCATATAAGGTCGTCGAACATCTTCTTGTGAATCAACTTGTTTGCAAGAAAGAGCATGAGATTTGGTGCATGTTCGGTAATACACCAGCTCGTTTTTCTCTGTCTGAGTTTGAAGACATTACGACATTAAATTGTGCACCTTTTCCCGAGAGCGATGGCGTTGTTGAAACCTAAGCGCTTAGAGGGTTGTGGAAAAAGATGAAAGTAAAGAGGAAGAGCCCTTGCAAGTTAGAGTTAAAAGGGGCATTGGAGGATGTTTCTTCTTGGTCAACTGAAGACAAAATTCGTTTTGCATTTTTGTCTATTTTAGCAACTATCATCATAGGAGATGATGAGAAAAAGGAGCTTCCTCTGGCGCTTGCTTGTATGGTTTTTGATTTGCCAAAGTTTGAGAAATATCCTTGGGGCAGAGACGCTTTTTAGCGGTTGATTAAATCAGTGAAGCGTGTAAATTTGGAAGCGAATGCATACACAATAGATGGGTTTGTGCAAGTGCTTCAAGTATGGGTTTACAAAGTTGTTCCTAGTCTTGGAGCAAAGATTGGTCGTCCATCAAATATTGACAGTCCCGCTATTCTGAAATTTAGAGGTTTAAAAGGAACATGTAACACAAATATTCATGACGTCTCAAATGCTGATGAGGTAGTGTAGTAAGATTTTTGTCTGACGATGAATATATATATATATTTTTTTTTTCTGATAAATGTTCACTGCTGCACTTTTGCTTTGATTTGTAGAAAAACATCAAGAATATTGTTATCAACAATATGACAGCCGTTGTTTGGGATGGTGATCGTGTCGACGAGAAGATTGATGCTCTCATGCAAGCCATATGCAAAGAAGGAGGTTTAGGAGCTGTAATATGGGTGCCACATGATTTAAAAGACTATCAAAAGGAAGAGACCATGGAAGTAGTTTTGAGTGGGCATTCTGAAGAGGACAGTGGTGGCAATATGACATCACGAAAACACAGTTCAGAAGTGATGACTGCAGGAAAGAAGAAAAAAAAAGAAATATACATAAGTGCCAGTTCTTCTACCAAGTCTTCTGAATTACTGCACTTGAAAACTGAACTTGGACTGCAGACACAAAAGTTAGAGATGGTGGAGGCTAAAATAGAAGATATGGGAAAACAGATAAGAACTTTTGGAAAAGAAGGTGATGATGCTGAGAGAGAAGTCAAAGAACAATGAGGTATTTCGACATATTCTTTAGAAATTTAAAATTGAACTTTATATGTTTCACAACACTTGAAGACTTGTAAGTATAAATATGTGAGCTGTTCTTTGCAGATTTTGTCATTGGATTAACATTTTTGTTCTTGGGTATGCAGAGCTTTGAAGGTATGCGGTCAAAGTTTGAACTTCTGGAAAATGAGGTGACAATGCTGAAAAAGAAGTCGGAGACTAAAAAGGTAGTTTGGCTTAGTCTTTATAAATCTTTATTTGCAGATTTTATGTCCATGGATTACCATGTTGGTTACTGGATATATGCAGAGCTTTGAAATACCATACCTTAGAGATGAGGACATGCCATTAGACGAATTGATGGCTAACATAAAGGACATAAGAGCGAAGGCAGTTGAATCAGATGGAGAGAGCACAATATATGGAAGATTAGAGACGACCAATTTTCGGATAGAAAAGCCTCAGAAAACTTCGCCATTGAAGATAATTCAGCCAACTGCTTCTATTGTAGAAAAGTTTAAGCAGAAAAAAGTTAATAAGACATTAAAGGTCATGGGGGGAGGTCACCATACTCAAAGTTAATAAGACTGGTGTAACCCTTGAATCTCTCACAAGGCTTCAGCAAATGTCTCATTGTTCCTTTGAGTGAAACCAGATATCTCGCTCCTCAGCTTAGCAGTGCGACCAGTAGAGAAGAACTTGGCAAAAATGCCTTCTTGCAATCCTCCCATGTAGTGATTGATCCATGGGGTAAACTCTTCTCCCATTGATGGGCCTTCTCACCAAGAGATAGTGGAAAGAGGTGCAGCTTAATAGCATCTTCAGAGACACCATTAATCTTTGTCAAATCACACAGCCTATCAAACTCATCCAAGTGATCAATGGGATCTTCACAAGACAATCCATGGAACATCTTGTTCTGGACTAAGGTAATCATCCCCAGCTTGATCTCGAAATTGTGGTTCTGACAGGAGGTGGGACAATCCCTCTTCTTTGCTGGTGGCGGTTTGGTGCATCTCCAAGCCCAATCGGTCGAGTCTGCCTAGCTCGACCATTTCCATTACCCAAAGGGTTTCCATTACCCTCTGGTATATCCATAGTATTTGTAACAAGCACCTCTGACTGAACTTGTTGCCTCTGGCTCTTCTTTCTCTGTTTTCTGCCTATGTTGATGTCTAACTCGACCAAGTCTCTGTTGATGAGCTCGATCGAGTTCACATACACCTGCAAAACAGTCAAAAACCCAGCAGTACAAGCAACAAAGGTGGGATAGTACTTGATCGTTCAAGTGATTTGGAAACTCAAATGCAACAATTAACAAACCCAAATGGCAACGGCGCCAAATTGATGATAGGATTTGTGTGTGGATGATATAAAATGATATGAGGTGGAATGCAAACAGGGTGAATAAAGATGAATGGTATGGTGCAATCACAATCACAATCAATCAATTCCTCTTAACCATCATAGTCGATGTAGTATAAGAGGTTATCAATCCATAAGGGTGAGATGTTGCTCTATGAGAATATGCAAACACAAGAAAGTCAAGCCAAATGATTAAAAGAGGGATGTAACAACTAAACAACCTAATATGAAATGAAATGCAAACAAAAGCAGTAAATAAAAGCAGCTCGACCAAGAGCTCGATCGAGTTGATGAGCTCGATCGAGTTGAGGGTCGAGTTGGTGTAAAAACAGAGGAAAGCGAATGAAAAGCAATAAAGGTGCAAACTTTAAGATTAATGCGAAGATTAGGGTTAAAGACAGGGTTTTGCAGCTAGGGAGGCTATACTTAATCAACCTTGCTCTTAAACAACTTGTACTCAAGCTATCTCTTGGTATTGAGCTTCTCAAGCCTAGCTAACCCTTTCCCAAGGTGAAAGCTATCATCCAAGGCATGATCTCAGAAACAGGGGGTTAGCCAGTGAGAATCAAGCCTTGGAGGCAGTAGGATCATTGCTCAAACTAATCCATCCAACACCTATGAACTCCATTTCGAGAGCAAGGTTTATTGGAGCTCTTAGTGGACCTTTTCAAGCGATTTCCCAACACTTCCATGTGGAAAATCGCCTAGACTCATACAAGCCAGGGGTAGTGGTCATGTAGCCTTAAGGTTTGTCCAAAAGAGAGAGATTTCTAGATTAAGAACATAAGCAAAAGAGATTAAGCATAAACAACCTCTAACCTATCCCATCTTAAGCCCTAAAGAGAAACTACTCACTACACATGATGAAATAAACAACCAAATGCAATAAAGGAGACATTAAAAGATAGAGGAGATAAAGATAAACAACTTTTATTGAAATAAGCAAAGTGCAAAAACACAATAACAAGCCTAGATCTAGGGTTCTATGAGCAAGAGCTCAAGAACACAAAGAGAGGCTAAAAAGTAAAAAGGGAAATGCAAATACAAGATTAAATAAAAGTTGAGCAAAAGCTGTGTTTAATTCGTGGCTCAATGCCATTTATAGTAAAGCAAACTAGGTTTAGGGTCAAAGGGGAGTCAAAGGGAAGCAACATTTTTCGGGTTTGACTTTGACTCCTGGAAAAGCAGCTCGATCGAGTTGGAAACTGGCCGGTCGAGCTGGTGGGTCGAGTCCAACCAAAATCGTCGTATCTTCTGAACCGCTGGTCCGAATGACATGAAACCACCTCCAGACGAAAGCTAACTCAATTATCCACAACTTCCAAGAAGAAGTCAGAGGCTGAATCGGAGTGTAAACCCTTCATTTGATACGATACTTCGGACGCATCTCACTAGCTCGACCGAGTGCGGGTCCGTACATGGGGCAGACAGAGTCTTTCCTTCCTCAACTAGTCTCCAGTGATAGGCAATGTTCCAATTAGCTCCAAATGACCTGATTAAGACATCAAACGTGCATATGTATGCAAATGCAAGCCTAAAACTACTATGTATGCAAAAGAAGAGAAAAATCAAGAAATAAGAAATGATGCTTTGGGTGAATAAAACTATGCAAAAGATGGTAAAAGGGGCTAAAACATGTAAAATGCAAGTACATCAACCATATAGATAGGGTATACCACTTTGTCCCTTGTTTTCACTAAATCCATCAAGAGTCCCACTCTTTTCCTCATCTTCACCATCTCCATCAAGAGTACCACTTTTTCCTCATCTTCACTTGTTCCATCAATGGTGCCACTAGTTTCCTCAACTTCATCAAATTCCTGGAAAAAAAAATGAGATAACAAAAATGAATAAAAGGTAACATTGTACGTAGAACATACACACTTCAATGCTATCATGCATAATGAATATATAAAATAGTGGAGACTATATTTTGTTTGCTTTCATTTGAGAGACTTGCAAAACATTTGGGAGATTTGAGTTACGTCTACGAGTTTCCGCAGACATGAATGACGTCTACAAGTTTTCACAGACTAGAGTTACGTCTACATGTTTTGGCAGACTTGAGTTACGTCTACGAGTTTTCGCAGACATGAGTTACGTCTACAAATCTTCACAAACTAGAGTTACGTCTACATGTTTTTGCAGACTTAAGTTACGTCTACAAGTACACTTAGAGTTATCTCTACAAGTTTTCACACACTAGATTTACAGCTACAGGTTTTTGCAGACTTTAGTTTTACGGAGACTTACTTTATGTCTATAGATTTTCACAGACTTGTGTAATGTCTACTAGTTTTTCACAGATTCACGTAATATCTACAATTGTTTGCAGACTTGCATGATGTCTACAGATTTTTCATGAGCTCCAAAAATGTCTACTGGTTTTACGTAGACTTACATAATGTCTACGATTTTTTTTTTGTAGAATTGTGTAATGTCTTCGTGTTTTCGTAGACTCGTGTTATGTGTACATAGTTTTTTGTGGACTGATGATAGATTTGTGTGTGGATGTGAAAGATATGAAATGAGATGTGGTGGAATGCAACAGTGGTATATGATGAGGTGGTAAGATGCAAACACAAACACAGTCAACAATTCCCTTTAACCATATAGTCATTAGTATAGCATAAAGGGTATCAATCCAAAATGGGAAATTGTCACTCTATGAGAATATGAAACAAAGGAAGTCAAGCAAGCAGTAAAGATATGGGGTAACACTAACAACCTAAATGAAAAGAAATGCAATGCAATAAGTAAATAAAGCAGTAGAGCAACAGCTCGACCAAGGACTCGAGTCGAGTGGAACAGAGTACCGAGCTCGATCGAGTTTAGGGTCGAGTTGAAGTAAAAAGCTAAAGGCAGCGACTTTAACAAGCTAATGCGAGAATTAGGGTTCAAGACAGGGTTTTGCAATCAGAGGAAGCTATACTTAATCAATCTTGCTCTTAAAACTCCTTGTATCAAGGCTTCTCTTGATATTGGGCTTCTCAATGCCTAGCCAACCCTTTCCCAAGGTGAAAGGCTATCAACCAAGGAATGATCTCAGAAACAGGGGGTTAGCCAGTGAGAATCAAACCTTGGAGGCCATAGGATCATTGCCCAAACTAATCCATCCAACCCCTTAGACCTCTATTTCTAGAGCAAGAGATATTGGAGCTCTTAGTGGACTTTTCCAGCGATTTCCATCACTTCCATGTGGAGAATCGCCTAAGGACATACAAGCCAGGGGTAGTGGTCATGTAGCCTTAAGATTATCCAAAAGAGAGAGAATCTAGATTAAGACCATAAGCAAGAAGGATTAAGCATAAAACCTCTAATCTATCCCATCTCAAACCCTAATGGGTAACTACTCACTACACATGAATGTAAACACAAGCAAATGCAATAAAAGAGACATCATAAGAAAGAGGAGATGAAATAAACAACTTTTATTGAAATAAGCAAGTGCAAATACAAAGAGATTATCCAGGATCTAGGATTCAAGAAGCAAGAGCTTCAAGAACACAAAGATGGGATTAGAGCTCTAAAAAGTAAAAGACAATAAATTAAAAGAAACTAAAACAAAAAGTAATCTAAAGCTTGGTGGTTTTTTCGTGGCTTAGAGCCTTTAAATACAAGAGGATTAGGTTTAGGGTCAAAGGAAAGTCAAGGGGGAAGCAACATTTTTCGGGTTTGACTTTGACTTCCAGCTCGATCGAGTTGAAGCTTGGCCGGTCGAGTTGAGGAACTCGACCGGTTGGTCGAGTAGATGGTCGAGCTGGTCTTCAAGATGGCTTCTCCTTCTTCCTTTGCGTATCCAGTTGAGCTGCGTCCATGCCCAAGTCCCTCCATGCTCCTCACGTCCCATATGCTCCAGAATGCTCCAAAAGACCTATTTCAAAGGACCAAACATGCATATGTATGCAAATGCAACCTAAAACTACTATGAATGCATAAGAAGAGAAAAGGAACAAGATATGATGCTAATGGATGCTAAAACTATGCAAAAGATGCATAAAAGATGTACTAAAACTATGTAAAATGCAAGTACATCAACACCCCCAAACTTGAACTTTGCTTGCCCTCAAGCAAACAAATAGAACAAGAAAGAGATGAGGTTTGAAAACAAGCTGATTCAACACTTAAAAACATGTCCTCAAAAGCGATTTGCTAAATGTCCAACTTAGAGATTCTAGAATGCAACAAGGTGAGAGATATTCATTAAGATTTAACCATGCTTATCAACATCAATCCCACTTCACAGTCACTCAAACAATGCATTCAAATCAGCAAATCCCTTTAACATTCATTAAGCAAAAACAGTGAACCAAAAACATGCAAGATCAATCAACTCATTTGGTTTCAAGGGTTTATGGGTTAAGAGACAAAGAGGGTCTCTTTTGTATGGTGGTTTAGTAACAGGGATCTCTCAAGAAAGTGGCTTTGCTTTGGCAGAAGGCTAAGTGTTAGAACCAAAGATGATGCAAGAACAGCAGCTCGAGCCGCCTAATCCTAACTCGATCGAGTTCAACACTTAGAGCTTTTTAGAACAAAATCCTAACTACCCTTTTTGGCATTTCGCCTTTGAAACTGAGGAGCTTTGCTCACTTTTCTTTTAAGAACTTCCTAGGGAGAGGCTTCTTGAGGTAACATCTAGCGGTTTGGGATTTTCTAAACACTTAGGGAACTTTTCTTTCCTTTTTGACACTTGAGGCTTTGCCTTCTTTTCATTCTACTTAGAACCCTTTTTACTTCCTTTTTTAACTTCCCAAACCTTTACTAGACCCTTTTTAACACTGCCAACTCCCTGGACTTAACTAAACTCTTTTTCCTTTGGGTTTTTCCCAACTTTTACCACTTTTCTGGTTTTTACACCCAACTCGATCGAGCTCGAGTTGGCACCCCCAAACTTAGCCTGAAAACAATCCCAAGAGAACTAGACAACTAGAACTACTGCCCCTGCCGGTTTAAACACAACACCTTATGCTAAGCAAAGCCAAGAAAGGTTCTCACATTCGCACAAGAGATAAAATGGGGTTTGAAATGAAAAGGCTTAGGTTTAAGGTGTGGTAACTGTCTCAAAGATAGAGATCAGCTATCTGGACAAGCAAAGGGATATGAAAATAGGTAAAGAATGTCCAGATATGTATGTGGTAGCCATGAGTTGAAATCAAATGCAAGCATTGGTAATTAAAGATCAAGTTATGGTTCAAATAGATAGGGAAATGCATCAAATCACAGCAATGGTTGAATGAGATGTGCATGCAGTGATATGATCAAGATAAACATGGTTCTTGCTGCTCAATCAATCTCACCCTAATGCACAAAAGAATCTAAAAACAGGGCACTCAAGAAATCGCAAAAGATGACAAGTTTTCAAAGTCAAATCAACAATGCAAGTGAAAAATGCAATCCTAAACAAGTCTAACAAATATGAATGCAAAAAGATGAAAATATTTTTGGATTTTTTGAAAATTTTATGATTTTTTTGGTTTTTCTATGCAAAAGATGAATGAAAAACTAAGAACAAAGAAAACAAGGTTAAATCATCTCTTGAACCCTCCCCCAAACTTAAATCACACAGTCCCTTGTGTGAGAAAATTTAGTGAAAGATTCAAGAGGGCAAAACCAAGAAAAAAAAAACAAATGCAAGAAAATATGAAATGGTATATACAAGGGTTGGTGTTTGGATACCTCAGTGCCCCCCAAAGAACTGGGAGGCAAGGTCGTGGTCTGGAGAGGGTAGACGGCCATCAGGAGCTCCACTGCAACGGGTTCACGCTCACTCGATCGAGCTTGCGGCTCCTCTTCTTCCTCTTCTTCATTGAAGTGTGTGTGGCTCCCTTGGCCTTGGTGGAGCTGGCTGCTCGAACTGTCCATAGGGGTTCCATCTACTCTGAGGGTCTCCTGGTAGGTGGGATCGTACTCGAATCCAGGGTTCTCAAACAGGGGCTCCTCCAGGTCAACTCGACCTCAGCTCGATCGAGTTGAGTTTCCTCTGTTTGGACTCGATCGAGTCCGGTGGTCGAGCTGGAGCGTCTGGCCTTGGAACTCTTCCTCCTTCTCTGCGTGTTGTCTTCTCCTTCCCTTGGCTCGAAAGAAGAGGCTCTGTGAGGCTCTTGGGCAGGGAGCCTCCTTGGAGTGGTGAGGAGTGATCTACTCCTAGGGAATGTGGGGGCCATGGTTCCTTCTTCTTCTTGAAAGAACCAGAAACCTTCTTCTCCAAACTCTTGATCTTGCTCACCATCTTGTCCATGGACTTTTGCATCTTTCAATGGCTTTCCCTTGCCATTTGTTGAACTTTTGGAGAAGTCCAATCCTCTTGTGGGCAGCCACAACAGAGGGGTTCATCCTTGGAGCCTCATACTCCTCAAAGTAATAGCACTCAGGCTCACCCAAATCATCTCCTGACTGATCCTCAGCTCGATCCTCAGCTCGATCGAGCTCAGGCTCCTCTTCTCGCAAATCATCCTCATGCCCAACTAATGTGTACACAGGGGGTCTGAAGTCAATGTTCTCACCCCTGACTGTGGTGAGCTCAGGGTTGGGCAGGAGAAGCTTGGAAGGGCCAGCCAATGGATGTGTGAACTTGAATTGGAACCTCCCATCCAACTCCTTGTGCTCAATGAGGAGGTTGGTCTTGCAAAACTTGATGTCCATCCAACCTGGTTCAGTAGCTTCTCTTCAGTTGGGACTCCAGCAGCACACAAGATAGGGTGATGATCCCTCCAACACTTAAGCTTCTTCCCTTTTGATGCCTAGTGTTGTAGGCTGTGATCTTGTAGGTGAGGAGCTGGTCAAGGAAGGCATCAAGTTCCCTGTGTGATCTATCTCCTCTGATCCTCTTGCCATCGCTTGTGCGTGAGATGATGGGCTTGATTCCCATGTCAAGGAGCTTGAGTTCCCCTCATTGATTGTCCCGTGCTTTCCTTGCAAAGAAGGTGTTGGCAAGTGCCTTGTGCACATATCAAGCACTGGGCTCCTGATCTGAGCTGCCTTGGACCTTGAGGAAGAGTACACTCCATCAGCGATTGTAGCCCAAACCCTTTGGAGTTCCTTTTCCTTGAAGTTCCACTATCCCTTCTCCATAGTTGAACCCAAACAAGATCTCCAAGCTGCCTAAAGGTCACCATTCTCTTCTCTCCCTTAGCCAAGAACGTGATCCATCCCAATCCTTGGTCCAAATCAGCTCTATCCTCCTCATCGTACATGTGGTACCTCATTGAAGCCAAAAACTCACAAGTGAGCTCCTTGTAGGACTTCCATGTGTGAGAGAAGAACTTGGCCAAGTGCATGTTCTTGAGACCAACTCCACATCCTCAAAGATTCCAAGGGCCTTCATTGTGTCATCATGTGGGTACTTGGTCTCCACAAAGTCCATGGAGAAGAGAGCATTGTAGTGCTCTTGGTACATGGGGAGCTCCTCCTCCTCTTGTGCTCAACCTCCTCCATGGTTCATCTTGGTTACTCTCTTGCTCACTCTCATCAACCAATTGATTCACCTCTTCTCCTTCCTCTTCACTCTCAGTCTCATCACTTCCTTCTTCATTGGAGACCATCCCTCCTCTTGAACAAGGTTCACTCCAATCTCAAACTCTCCTTGCTCACTCTCACTACTAATGGGTCATTCCTCTTCTTGGTTCTCCTTTCCTCCCTCAATCTCTCACTCTCAGACTCTCCTCAGAGTAGACATATCCTCTGCATCAGACTCTTCCATCCTTGATCATTCTCCAAATCGGCTTGCATTTAAGCCTTCTCTCCTTGCATTGCTTGATTCACCCTCAACCATTCTCCTTGTGAAGCGCGCTTCCCTCACTGTTTGTCATCTTGTTACACTGTTTCTTCACTAAAGTACCTGAAATGCATCAAAGATTACAAAGAATTAGAGTTGTAATGATCGGTTTGGTCAACTCGACACTCAGCTCGATCGAGTCAAAAAACTCGAGTGACAAACTCGATCGAGCTGGGTGAAAACAGAGTATAACCGAACCTAATTCAAGTATTAAGAGCTGGAAAGGATGCTAATCAATCAAATTGAACCAAGAACAACTAAGTAAATGGAACAATGAGCAATTCTAGTGAAAACAAGCATCTTAACCAATACCAAACTCAAATTCAATTTTCAAGCACATGCAACAAGTTCTAAAGGCAAAACAGAGGTGAGGTGGCAAATTCACAAAATTAACAGGAAAATATGAAAGCAATTACTCAAGAACAAGTCCACAAGGGACACATGCAATCAAAATCAAAGAGAAACAAGCAATAAGAAATCGAGATGAAGGAATCAAGGGTTTTAGGGTTCATACCTTGCTTGAATGATGATTGAAGAACAGTAAACTAGAACTAAGCAAAACAAGATGAAGAACAAGAAATCGCAAAAACTTAAGAGAGAAAGAGGAAATTCGATTTTCTTGTGGTGAAGAGAGAGATGGATGATTTCAGAAATTTTAGTGTGGGAGAGAGAGAGAGTGGGTTCGATCGAGTTATGGGGAAGAGGGAGTGTTTGAGATGTGTGGTTGAGATTAAAAGATGAAATAAAGAGGGAACAAAAGCTAGGGTTTTCTGATCAATTAGGGTAGTGGGGGACCAAAATCAGCTTGTGGGACCCACTCCCTTGACCAAGAAAACGGTTATGAATTTGAAATTCAAAAACTTACCTCGGTCGAGTTGTAACTCGATCGAGTTGCCCTGGTTTCTAGCTCGATCGAGCTGTCGGTCGAGCTGGCTCCTTTGACACCTAAACTTAACTTATTGAAAGGTTAAAACACAAAATAGATAGAAATTGCATAAATAGATATGTACAAGGATAAACATGGGACTTCCTCCCAAGTGAGCTTGTTTAAGGTCCCATAGCTTGACCTTTACCTTCTTAGGCATTGGTTGAGCTAGTCCCACCATCAAGGGTGATAGTGAGGACTTGAGACAGAAGCTCCTTTAGCTTGGTTGGGTCCCTGGACTTGTTCTGAAGTCACCAAGGCCTTGGCTCTAGAGAATGGCCTTGATCTCCCCTTGTACCTTATCTTGTACTCAATCTTCCCATTTTCAAACTTGGTGGGGAACAAAGTCATTGTGAGCTGAGATGGCTTGATGAAGGGGCCTGAGCTGGTGGATCCTTTCTTTTATCCCTGGTCTTGCCTTAGAGGCTGCATCCTCCCCTTCTTTTAGAGCCCTTCCTAGTGGCTCATCAAACAAAGCTTGAAGGCTCTCTTCATCAAGCACACAAGGGGCTTGAACAAGTCTATCAGCTCGTGGCCTATCAGATCGTGGTTTCTCAACTCTAGCCCTCTCAAGACGTGGCTTCTCAATCCTTGGTCCTCTCTCATCCTTATCCTTCCCAACTCTTGGTTCTTTGTCAACCCTTTCCTTCACAACCTTTGTAGCTCCATGACTCTTAGAACTGAGAGTGGTACTGTCAATTGTGGCACAAAAGTCTGAACCTCTAGGCTGCAAGCGATATGACACCAAACTATTCACCTTGTGAAGGATCACTTCTTGCTTGTGAAAGTCTATTGAAGCGCCAACTGTACTAAGGAAAGGGGTTCCCAATAACAGAGGTAAATCCTTCTCTTCTTCCATTTCCATCACAGTGAGATCAGTTTGGATGATGCATTCTCCAATTTTCAAGTGATAGTTCTTGAACACTCCAAGAGGAGACTTAGAAGTTGCATCTCCAAACATGATTGAAGTAGTAGGGCGCTGCAAGGCTCCAGCAATGCCTAGCTTCTCTGCCATGGAGAGAGAGATCAGATTGATGCTTGCTCCAGAATCCACTAAGGCATTGTCAATCTCAAGATGCCCAAGTGTGCAAGGGAGAGTGAATTTCCCTTGATCCTTGACCTTTGGTAGGAAGGTGGGTGAAGTAAGCAGGTTGAACTGATGAGTAGACTCTTCAGGACCTCTGAAACTTTATCACTGTTGGCTAGAACATCCTTGACCATTTGCATTTGATCAAATGCCTCACTCATGCTATCCATAGGAGGCAACTCAATTCCAATCCCACTGAGATCTCTTCTGAACTTGTGAATCACTTCCTTGTGACCTTGACTAAGTAGGCGAGACGAGGAAGCGGCAACCGGTTGGTAAGGATCAAGCAAAACAGGCTTTGGGACAGAAGAGGTCGGACTCGATCGAGCTAGAGTTGGACTCGATCGAGCTGCCGATCGAGCTTGTTGTGCGAGCTCAACTGGTGAAGTGTGAATGGCCACAGTAGGTGCCTGCACTTCTGGTTGATCAATCTGGACTCCAGGAGCCTCAGCAGCAACAATCTCTTCATCATTCAGCAGTAAACAAAAATCTTCAATGACCCTTTCTTGATCCTCTTCTTCAACAAGTCCTTCTTGAGTGAAGATGACCTTGCACTGTTCCTTGGGGTTCTGAATAGCTTTACCAGGTAGTTGTCCTTGCTTTGTAGCAGCAGCAACAGAAGAAGCATGATTCTCCAGAGAGTAAACCCTTGTGTTGAGGTTCTCGATCTTAGAGTTTATTTCAGCTAGCTTCTTGCTTGTGTCCACTACCCCATCAGCTTGCCCTTGAAGTAGTTGCTTTAGCATTGCCTTGAGCTCATTCTCTTGTGAAGGTGCAGGCTGGGGTGGTTGGTGGGGAAAGCCTGGTGGGATATTCATTTGTTGTCCAGGGAAAGTGCCTTGTGGTCCTTGGTAATTGTTCTTTTGACCATACCCATGTTGTGGCACCTGACTCGATCGAGCTGCTTGTTGTTGAGGATATACTTGGTCCTGAGGGTTAGCAACATCAGTGTTGCGGTATGACATGGCAGGGTTGGACTTGTAATTATAGTATCCTTTGTTGTAACCTCCTTGCCCATTGCTCATGTAGCACACCTCAGCAAATTGTGTATCCTCCCCTTCTTGGACTGGTTCCATCTCCTCAGCAGACACAAAGTTGACTTTCTTCATTGTGGACTGAGCTAGGATCAGCTTATCCAACTTCTCATTCAATGCCTTAACATCTTTTCTCAACTTTTCGTCTGACTCGATCGAGTGGTGGGTCGAGCTCCGATTGGTGCGATCATACTCTTCTCCATAGCTTCCATTTGAGTTAGCTATGTTCTCCACAAGTTGCCAGCCATCATCTACATCCTGGTTGAGGAAGTTCCCATTGCTAGCTGTGTCTAGCATCTCCCTATACCTAGGCAAGCATCCTCTATAAAGAGTGGAGAGTAGTGATTCATTGTTGAATCCATGGTGTGGGCACTGACTTGTGTAGCCTTTGAACCTCTCCCAAGCCTCTGCGAATGTCTCATTGTTTCGCTGGATGAAGCTGGATATCTCTCCTCTAAGCTTGGCTGTGCGACCGGTGGAGAAAAACTTAGCAAGAAAGGCCTTCTTGCATTCATCCCAAGTGGTGATTGTGCCATGGGGCAAGCTCTTCTCCCATTGGTGAGCTTTGTCAGCTAGAGACATAGGAAAGAGTCTCAGCTTGATGGCATCTTCAGAGACACCATTGATCTTTGTCAAATCGCATCTTCTGTAGACCGACTCGATCGAGTTCGCATACACCTGCAAAAAGAGACAAAAACCCAGCAGTACAAAGAACAGGGGTGGTATAGCTTGATCGTCCAAGTGTATTTGAAACTCAAATGCAACAAAATAAAATCGGCAACGGCGCCAAATTGATGATAGGATTTGTGTGTGGTGTGAAAGATATGAAATGAGATGTGGTGGAATGCAACAGTGGTATATGATGAGGTGGTAAGATGCAAACACAAACACAGTCAACAATTCCCTTTAACCATTATAGTTGTTATAGCATAAAGGGTATCAATCCAAAATGGGTGAAATTGTCACTCTATGAGAATATGAAAACAAGGAAGTCAAGCAAGCAGTAAATGATATGGGGTAACACTAACAACCTAAATGAAACAGAAATGCAATGCAATAAGTAAATAAAGCAGTAGAGCAACAGCTCGACCAAGGACTCGAGTCGAGTGGAACAGAGTACCGAGCTCGATCGAGTTTAGGGTCGAGTTGAAGTAAAAAGCATAAAGGCAGCGACTTTAACAAGCTAATGCGAGAATTAGGGTCTAAGACAGGGTTTACAATCAGGGAAGCTATACTTAATCAATCTTGCTCTTAAAACTTGTATCAAGGTATCTCTTGATATTGAGCTTCTCAATGCCTAGCTAACCCTTTCCCAAGGTGAAAGCTATCAACCAAGGACTGATCTCAGAAACAGGGGGTTAGCCAGTGAGAATCAAGCCTTGGAGGCCATAGGATCATTGCTCAAACTAATCCATCCAACCCCTATGAACTCCATTTCGAGAGCAAGAGTTATTGGAGCTCTTAGTGGACCTTTTCCAACGATTTCCATCACTTCCATGTGGAGAATCGCCTATGGACATACAAGCCAGGGGTAGTGGTCATGTAGCCTTAAGATTTCCAAAAGAGAGAGATTTCTAGATTAAGAACATAAGCAAGAAGGATTAAGCATAAAATCCCCTAATCTATCCCATCTCAAACCCTAATGGGTAACTACTCACTACACATGAATGTAAACAACAAATGCAATGAAATAGACATCAAATGAAAGAGGAGATAAAGATAAACAACTTTTATTGAAATAAGCAAGTGCAAATACAAAAGAGATTATCCAGGATCTAGGATTCAAGAAGCAAGAGCTTCAAGAACACAAAGATGGGATTAGAGCTCTAAAAAGTAAAAGACAATAATTAAAAGAAACTAAAACAAAAGTAATCTAAAGCTTGGTGGTTTTTTCGTGGCTTTTAGCCTTTAAATACAAAGAGGATTAGGTTTAGGGTCAAAGGAAAGTCAAGGGGGAAGCAACATTTTTCGGGTTTGACTTTGACTTCTCAGCTCGATCGAGTTGAAGCTTGGCCGGTCGAGTTGAGGAACTCGACCGGTTGGTCGAGTAGATGGTCGAGCTGGTCTTCAAGATGGCTTCCTCCTTCTTCCTTTGCGTATCCAGTTGAGCTGCGTCCATGCCCAAGTCCTTCCATGCTCCTCATGTCCCATATGCTCCAGAATGCTCCAAAAGACCTATTTCAAAGGACCAAACATGCATATGTATGCAAATGCAACCTAAAACTACTATGAATGCATAAGAAGAGAAAAGGAACAAGATATGATGCTAATGGATGCTAAAACTATGCAAAAGATGCATAAAAGATGTACTAAAACTATGCAAAATGCAAGTACATCATGGACTCCCAAAATATCTACTAGTTTTTCGCAGATTTACGTAATATCTACAATCTTTTGCCGACTTGTGTATTGTATCAATTAGTTTTGTCCCAGACTTGTATTATGTATACGGATTTTTCATGAGTTTCAGAAATGTCTACTAGTTATACGTAGACTTACGTAATGTCTACGAATTTTTTTGCAGAGTTGTGTAATGTCGTCGTGTTTTTCGTAGACTTGTGTTATGTCTGCAAGGTTATTTGCAGACACAAAAATGTCTACTAGTTTTTCGCAGATTTCTATAATATCTACAATCTTTTGCAGACTTGTGTATTGTGTCGGTTAGTTTTGTTGCAAACTTGCATTATGTCTATGGATTTTTCATGAGCTCTAGAAATGTCTACTAGTTATACATATAATAAGTTAGTTTAAAAAACAAAAAATGTGAAAATAAAACATTATTTTTTACAAAAAAATTATACTGTATTTCATAAGATAAGAAGTCTTAGTTGTGTGCATACATATTAGAACTAATTTTTTCTTTCTTCTAAAACTAAAACACGGATTAAAATCAATTTTTTCTTTTTTTTCAAAACTAAAACATGGATTAGAATTAATTTTTTTCCTTCTTTCAAAACTAAAACACGGATTAAAACCATTTTTTTTCTTTCTTTCAAAACTAAAATATGGATTTTTTTCTGTCTTTCAAAATTAAAATATGCTTTATTATAATTTCAAAACAATCCAACCAATAAGAAGACAATCTGCATAATCTAAATTGTTAAAACAATGAAAATATAATTAACTTTATAATGAAAGTTGAAATAGATGGAGTAATATTCAAATTTTTAATCAAAATAAAAATTTATTAAAAAAAATTATTCAGTTTTATTATAGAATTTAATTAAAAACCATATTAAATGGAATAAAAATAATATGAAGCTGCTTGATACCTACTAAATGAGGTTATATACTAAACAGTTTACATTATTTTGTTTTTAAAAATTCAAATCATAGCATATTCAGAAAAAGATTTAGATTTTCTTTATTAGTTTTCTTATATGATGATTCATATTATTTTATAAAATAAAGTTAAACAAAGATGATAGAAGATATATAGTGATTTAAAAAAAATATTATGATAGAAATCAATTGGAATTTCATATCTTCCTTATTTACTTATTTTCGTAATTGCCATTTAAGGAAAGAAAATAATAATAAAGGGATGGTAAGCATAATATGCAATGGCATATATTGTAATTTTTCTAGTAAATGTTGTCTTATTTAAAAGTTGAGCTGAGAGTGAACCTGGTGATGACACATAAGCAATGACACTCTTGTTAATAACATATGAGATAAAGGTTATTTTGATAGTGTTTTCTATTTTAATATATTAGGGATTGGAAAAACGGACTTATGCTGAGCCAAACAAAAAGGACCGGAAAAAGAAAGATAAGCCAACAAAAAAAAGAAAAAAGCAAGAAAAAAGCTGTGACAACATTTCGACGTTTATATAGGCTAAAAACGCTAAGCAGTTTTCAGAAAGATGCACCAAAACGGAGCGCGCTTATTTTCATGCCTTAGTGATTATTTCTACCTCTCCAATCGATAATGGCTGCATAAAGAGTGTGATTAGGCAAAAGGTTTATGTTTAGTAACGGCAAATTGGTCACCGGCGAAGTTCGATGCTCCTCCATCCACTCCTCTATGGCTTGCCGGTCATAAGTGTACCCATCAGCCGCAACACATGGCTCCTTCATCACATCCTGCAAACATAACATAACAAAACAACATATTCTTCTCCAAGTCTCTTAACTTCTGTCGCAAGAAAACATATGACGTAATGAACAAGTTATTACATTACCTTAAGTAAAGGGCAGAAGAAATGGCTTGGAGGTTGACTTGAGGCAGTGGAAAGCGTTATTCTTGCTTTATCAGCTACCTTCTTCAAGCTCTCCAATGTTGGAAGAATCTGATTCTCCAAATCAGGTCTGTCTTTAGCACGGATCTCTGTACAATAGAGGGCTAAAGCTGCTAATTGCCGAGTTTCTTGGATTGGCCAGTCACCGGCTTTCGTATCAAGAATCTGTATCAACTCTTCGTCATCGTTGTTCTCCATCGCTATTTCAACTGTATACGTCAGTGCTATAGCTGGTTGAGCGGTAAGTAGCTGCAGAATGATCATTCCGAGAGCATAGACGTCTGATTTCGGAGATATCATTCCTGTTCGTTGATATTCAGGGTCGATGTAGCATAGCGTTCCCACGGGGCTTGTCTGTTTGTACATTGTGAATTGGGATTTTAAAGGGTCGACTTGGATCATTGTGGAGAGACCTACATCTCCTACTTTGCTGACAAAGTTGTGATCAAGCAAGATGTTGGCTGGTTTAAGATCACGGTGGATGATTGGTGTCGGTTTCGATTTGTGGAGGAAAACAAGCGCTGATGCGACTTCCCAAGCGATTCTAAAACGCACGAACCACGGGATTGGTTGACTGTTGTTCACTTGGAACAGTCTATCGTCCAAGCTACCGTTTTCCATGTACTCATAGACTAGAGCACCGCGCTCAGGGCATGCTCCTAGAAGAAGAACCAAGTGTGGATGCCTAATCTTGCTCAAGATTTCGAGCTAAAAGAGATCAAACAAGAACTGTCAAGACTTTTTCAAGAATGGAGGAAACTTCGAAACAAGAAACAAGATTTGGTTGTGTACCTCTTGATCGAATTGTTTGGAAAGATTGTTTTCAGCAGAATGCAAAACTTTGACAGCGGCGATTGTATGATGCAGATTGCATTTGTAAACATCCCCGTAAGCTCCCGTTCCGATCTTTAGATCTTGAGAGAATGATGAAGTTGCGGTAACGATGTCTTCCCAAGTGAACTCTTGGTATTGCAGCTTAGGAGCCACTACTAGGGAACTTTCTTCAAGCTTCTCTTTCTCTTTGGCTTTACTTCTCTGTGGTGCAGCTTCTCTCTCTGCCTTTCTCTTCTCTGTTTCCTTTTCTGCTAACACTTTCGTTTCTTGCTCCTTCGGCGTTAGCTCTTCGAAAGTAAGTTCATTTAGCTGAAACCATAAAGGGCACATATTTCATCAAATACACACAAACCAATAGCTAAGAAGCTTTATCAAAGGCAATTCTTAAAAATACCAAAAAAATAAGTTTATGATCCAAAAATACCATCACTATTTTTTTTCCCCATCCGTACCACAAAAATAACATCAACCTAAAACTAACTTTAATGGAAAACTAAACACTAAACAAAAGTGTCAACCGATATGGTTTGTTTCAGTCCTATCTTGCTATGGGAGGTCCTTCATGGCTTCAAGATCGGCTGCAACGAGAAGCTCCATCTTGCACTTAGTTATCTCTTTGGTGGTTTCTTTTTGTTTTACCTTGTTTCAGAGTTTGATGCTCTGTTCATTTGGGTCTGTGAACCCTTGTTTTATTTTTTCCTCTGCTACTTTTGGTTGTATCCATCAATAATATTCAGACTTTATAAAAAAAAAAACATAAACCCAAATATTTAAATCATAAACCTTTTTTAAAAAAAAAATAAGGTAAAAATGGAAAAATAAAACTAATGATATTATTTTGGATCACAAACTTATTTTGTTGTATTATATTCCTCGTCATTATGAAACACAAAGTATTTTTGGTCAGCCCTAATATGAGAAGACCAAGTTATCAAAACTTTCTAGAGATGTACCTTGCGAGAAGCATCCAAGGTTTCTACTTGAGCCACAGCATACATTTCTTGAGCAAGTCTAAGCTCAGCTCTTAACTTTGTAATTTCTTTAAGCGTCTCCTGAAATCAAATGAAAACACCAAATCATTCTTCTCAAACGCTTTCAATGTTAACAAAAGAGGTTGAACAACATAACTTAGTTTACCTGGTTGTCTGTGAAATAATCTTCACCATGAGTAACACTTGCGTATTCATGGTTGCTCGACACAAAACTCATAGCGTCTTTTCTCTCATCGAAATCTCTAAAACGAGGATTCCAAGAAGCACTGCGCGATGTTTCAGGGTTACTTCTCTTGCTTACTTCATCTGCAGCATCCGAAGACACACTTCTAGTCTCATCTGACTCAGCAGAACTAGATTCCATACGACCAGAGACTCCTCTTACTATTGTTGGGAGATGTTGCAATCTCTTGTTTGACAGAGTAGCAAGAGATTTTGATTTGAGTGCATTTGACATTACATCTAAAGAACGTACATAAGAAAATATTAGACTCATGAACCATATACATACATCAAGATTTGAAGAAAACTCCAAACCTGAGCTAGGTCCTGAATCAGAAGAACAGCTGGAGGAATCAGTTATCTCGCAACTACCAGTATCTCTTAAAGTTTCTTTTCTCTCTCCGTCTGAGATTGATTGATGATCTTTTGAAAGAATATAGACTCCTTTTGAGACAACATAAACTGTGCAATGGTTTGACACATAGGCTGATATCTTGGAGGTAATATCTTGATTCCTGGACATTTATTTATCAACACATATGAGAAAACTTTGTGCAATCAGATAATGATCAAACCTAAAAGATAAATGTTTTCGAGCCGTACATGTACAAGCCATTATGGGAAGAGCGTCCAATGACAAGTCTGGTGATCAAATGCTGATTAACCTCTTTAGTTATCGCCACTGCAACACTATTTGATTCAAGAACTTGAAGTTCTACTTCAACCTTTGTCAAGAAGATTCAAAACGAGTTTCATCCATCTTTTGCTATAAGATATCTGATCAAGAATGACAGGGAAAAAAAGAAGAAAAAACCTTTTTCCGCTCGCACATCTTCTTGAAAGGTTTAAGAAGAGTTTCTTTCGTCTCTTGCATCACTTGTATTCTATAACTAGCCGCCACACCCTCTGGTGCGTCAGAAATAGAGACTATGTTTCCGGCTTAAGAAGAAAACAAAATAAAACCGGTATTAGGCTCTTAAGTTGTCATGCAAAGTCTCAAGTAGAGAAGAAATCTTTTGGAACTTACAAGGTGTAGGCACAGTAGTAATCTTTGGATGGATGTGAATCAGCTTGAAGATGACGTTTTTCTCAGAACCAAACTTTTTGAGTGCCCACTTAACTACATTCTTGCTTTTGGCGCTCGCACTAATAGCTACCGCAATGGTCAGAGATTGAGACGGAGATGCAAGATCAGAGCCGCCCTTCGTAGGAACACCGCCAATCACCGTCTTTTGGGCTAGAAAACTTTTCTTGAAATAAAAGTCCATGTTTTTTAATAAAATGTTTAATTTTTGTTTGAGCTTTATAAATTGTCAGGACCGGTTCTGGTCATGGCTTATATGTCCTCCAATCAAATGAGACACTTGCAATCTGTGTATCAAAGACATTTGGAGATAAGTCATTCATAACATGACAACTAGAATCAAGATCCTTGAGCCAAACCAAAACAAGGCAACCAAAGAACATTTGACAAATTAATATCACATTTTCTAATTAAGAATGCATGTTTTTGACAAGATCTTGAGTTCAGTAAGAGAGTGTAATAAATCGATCAATAGATGCTTTGACAATATCTCTATCACAAAGCAACATTCCAATGTCAAATTTAGATTGACAGCTAGACAATGCAACTGGACAGGAGGAATTTTGAAAGTCTAATAACAGTAGTAATCAGAACAAGAAAAATTCTCTACTTTACCATCTCAGAAGCGTGGAACCCCATCAAGACACGCATGATCAAAATCTCTTATTAACAAGAGAAGTCACAAATTTGTGGCCTACCTGATAAATAAAAGATGCAACTGTAAGCTGTACAAGAAACTAAAACCCAAACAAAGATGCTGTGGCAGAAGAAAAGAAAAGAAAAAAAAAAAAAACTTTCTTTCTCTCTGTCTCTCTCAATTTAACATCTTGAAGTCGATAACCGATGGAATATTCTTATTGTCGCAGAGGCATTGATAGCAGAAACACAAAGAGCAGCCACGTTCGTGCTCCTAATTTCAGATACAATCAAGTTCTTTGAATAACCACAGAATCTTATGCACTTTCTTAAAATTTCCTTTTTTTATATGTTTTGAATTGATTCTTAAACTATCATTATTATTAGTACTATAAAAATTGACAACTAAGTAAGTCATGAGTCATGACACATGTATACATGATCTCGGTTGAAGAATTGTGTTTAATTTCTCAGGGCCTTTACTTCCTTAAGTTAATTGTCTATTATACTTTTGATAAAGAATCATATTAGTATTTGCAAATCAATTTTCGTGAGGAGCCACCACATTAACTCTCAGCCTCAAAATTACATAATTACCCTTAATGAAAATCTTGAATAAATCTTTCAATTTGTTTATTATTTTATTTAAAAACGAATTTATTGCAAATCAATTTTCGTGAATGGAGCCACCACGTTAACTCTCAGCCTCAGAATTACATAATTACCCTTAATGAAAATCTTAAATAAATCTTTCAATTTGTTTATTATCTTATTAAAAAACGAATTTATTTTATTGGACGATGGATAACGAATTTTGCTTCCTTCCTAAATTATTTTTGGATATATACCGTATAACTAACATATTTTCCGAATTTTGTTTTCTTCCTAAATTATTTTTGGATATATACCGTATAACTAACATATTTTCGCGCCACATATATGGATCGATGAAATTAAAAAAATAATAAAGATTAAAAATTGGAAAACCTAGGTTTGTTAGCCGACTATGTCTTATATATAGTTATAGCTACAAGCAAAATCAACCCAATTCTCATTATGATTTGCATATCTTCTTTCTATACGTAATCTTACTTCTTAGGTCTCATATTTCTTCTTCTCATTTATCTTTATTGTTTCACTTTGATTTAAGTTCTATTTACTTACTGTAATGATTAACTGATTATTTGTTATCTACTGTCAATCATCTATATATACGCTTCTAACTTCTTCTTCTCTCGCTTTTGTAACAGTGAGTTCCAAGCTAATAGAATCTAGAAGATCAGATTTGGTCCCAAGCGAGAAATATTCAACTCCAGCAAACGAAGGTATGAACATCTATCCTTTTAATTACCATCTTAATATTCATGAAACCCTAATTCTAATGACGAATCTATAACAATTTTTTTTTTAATATCCATAATATTTGCTTAATCATTAATAATGTGGTGTTTGGGTTATTTAGGGGGTGGTGTTACACTGTAGATTTGGGTTTAGGGTGTAGGTTTTATATTGATGGGGTAGAGTTTAATTTTTGGTGTATTTTAAAAAAAAAATTGAATTATTACTAAAGAATTTCATAAAAAAAAATCATTTATTTGAAATTTATATCTACTTTCAAAATTACATTCACAAATAGAAAAAAAAACTAAAACAACTAAAGAAAATCCAGAATTGAAAGATAACAAAACTAATAAATTTTTAAAAGACTTCAACTATATAAAGATAGAATCTATTCAAAAATATTGAAAATTTTAACTATCGAAATGAATTGGTAGGTGATATACAAGACACAAACAAGACATAATAGATACATAAGTAAAAGAAAAGAAAACAGTGAAAAAGAAGATGAAAAATTTAGAAAAGAAAAAGAAAAGTCGAACATGAGGAAAAAGAAAGGAAAGAAGAAATAATGGAATGTGAAGAAAATTCCAAAACAAATGAAGAATATTACGTAGAAGAACAAGAAAGAGAAGATAAAAATAAGACACCTCAAGATTACAAAAATAAGAAGTTTGCGAAAACAAAAACGATGAATACAATAAAAAGTTGTACTACTTATATTATTTAAATCTTTAATTAATAATTGTATTTAAAAAATGTTGTACCCGCACAAGGTGCGGGACAACCACCTTGTTGTCTATTATATTGTCAGAAGAAAAAATTGTGTTTATTTTTCTTTGAAATGGGTGAGGGTTTATTTTAAAATTTTATGCATCCCTCAACAATCTTATGAAGGGACAATTTGCTAACTTGTTTTTTTAGATTTGGAAAATGTCTATTTTGGAAACTAATAATTTTTTTTTCTTGTGCAGCTCGAAATACCTTTTCAAAGATATGAATAATTTATCAAACCTTCTAACTCTAATTTATTTTTAAAAATTAAATATATAATTTTCTTACTTTAGAAAAAATAGCTGCATTACGTTATTATTTACAACTAAATATATTCAGATACTTTAAGGATGTAGCCTTAAACACTTATATAGTCTATATCAATCTATTAGGTGTAAAGTACCTCACTTTAGCGATAGATATACATGTAGGTATATATTCATGTATACATAATCCTTCTGATGACATGGATTCACTTTAAATAAGTAAATTGATACAAACTGAGACCATATAGAAAACCACAATCATATATATAATGGGTTCTATGGTTTATCAGCTACTAAACAAATTAAACCATCACACATCAAAAAATAATAATCAAAAATAATAATCTCACACACGAATAATGTAAAATGTTTCTTTTTTCTTATCTTGAACCGTTGTCAATTATTATTAACTTGGAGACAATCCGCGTGAATTTTACATTTTTTATTATCGGCTTAGTTAGAATATAATTTTATAATTTAATTTTGTGTTTTAAAAATATCATATTCATATTAATTCTCATACCATGTCGCATTCCGTTCTTTTTATCTTGTCTCGTCCTTCGATATAATTAGGGGTAGGCGAAATTCCCGTTCGTCTTGTTCAATCACGCCCTATTCCGTTCCTTTTCATCCGTCTCGTCTAGTCCCATCATATCTCATTCAATTCTTTCGCGTCTTGTTCTGTCTCATCTCATTCTTTCTGTTTCTTTCCGTCTCATCTCTAAATATAATTAAGAATATGTAAAATTCACGTCCCATCTCATCTCATCCCGTCCCATTTCATTCCTTTTCATCTTGTCCCGTTCTCTTCCATCCCATCATGTCTAGTTCGTCCATCCTATCCCATTATGTTTTTCCCGTCTTCTCTTGTCCCATTACATTCTTTTCATTTCTTCCTGACCCGTCCCTAAATATATTTAGGGGTAGGTAAAATTCTCGTCCCATCCCGTTCCATTCCGTCCCCTTTCGTACATTTGTATTTTTTCTCATCACTTAACATAATAAGAGGTAGGCAATATTCCTTCTTGTCCCGTCATGTCTAGTCTTGTCTCATTTTATCTCCAAATAATTTAAAAAATCATTATCTTTTCTATAATATCTTTACTGATATATTTATTTGAATATAAACTATATAATTTGACAAAACTAAAATTACTAAATAATAGTTTTTGTAGATGTATACATAAGGTTTCTTTTTTTTAAATGACTTTTCATATTATTGTTAAGCCTACTATATTAATAAATGATAATTATTATGAGAACTAAAATAGAAAAATATAAAATATAATAAAATTAAATAAAATATTCTCATGTATCAAACTTTTAGGCTATTTATTTGCTGAGGTGGAGACCTAATATTCCTTCCAATTTAAGATTAAATTTGAATATTTCTTTTCGTTTTTTTTTTTTTTTTTCGAAAGAGGCTATTTAATAAGTGTTTAGAAATTTTGCGCAAAAATAATAATAATAATAAGTGTTTAGAAATAGTATTTTCTAACTATCCCTATATTTTAATCGATTGCCACTAGACAGGATGCATTTCAAACAATTTAACAAAATTCTAATTTCACTTTGTTTTTAGTATAACACTATATCATAAATAGATATAAATGTTAGATATAATTGTTTACTTCCCTTAGTTGCTCGCATGATGATTCTTGTCCTCACGTCTTTTTGCCTTTCCTATGATAGTGGATCTATTAAATTGTGTCAATGTGAATATGTATCTATTAAATTTGGTTTAAGAATATTCCGCTAATTATTTTATGGTCAGCAAAACAATCCTGTGTAAAGTAATCATTTGTACCAATAAGAGACAAAATGCATTTAGAATGAAACATATAAAGATTAAAGAGAGAAAATATTTTATATCAAAAGTCAAAACATATGCAACGTCTAGTTACTCCGCTTCACAAACCCTATTGACTAAAAAATTCCATACATATTGTCTTATAAAACTTCTATAAAATAATAATATTGGACTTTGAAAATTTATTATTTTATAGAGTTATTTTATCGATAAATTAATAATTAATATTTTACAGAAACATTATATAAAAATAAGAAACTTTATAGAAATATTTTCTTTCAGTTTTTTTATTCAAATTTTCTTTATACTTTATAGTCTTGGAGTTATATTTTACTAAATTTTAATCAAATAGCTCTAACGAGAATCTAACTTTCAGAAAAGACAAATTACATTAGAGTTATATTTTACTAAATTGTCTTAAATATATATGCTTAAGTTTTATAATTATTATTTGAACTTATTGTTGGGACTATATTTTTACATAAGAGTTTCAAAAATATTATTATCTTATCATCTTATCGCATTTTACTATTTTTTACATTGGCCTAAATTGAGACCGAAAAAAGTTATTATTTTTTTATTTTATCGAGTATTACTTTATAAAGCTTCTACTGTACTTGAATGAATGAATGATATGTAGACGTTTTTAGCCAACCAATAATCAGAAACTTGAACAAGACTTTTAGAGACTCTATATACATATTTATCATAGGGCCCACTCTAAGAATATGTCAACTGTTCCCATACTTCTATCTCTAATCAAAATACACTAGGAGGAAGATAAGGAGTTAAAAATTTAATCTTGTTTTCAACGTATTAAGATTCAGAGGGTTGTAGACGAGCATGCGTTTGGATAAAGAGGAGACTTATTCTTGGACAGCAGATAAACACAAGTTTTTGTCTATACGAACACAAACCAGAATTTGTGCTCTTGCCAGAAGAAGCATGGAATATAAAAGATGACAGGATTCTGGAGAAATGACTGTTATCTTACTCGTTCCATGTTTGGATTTCGTATCGGAGCTATATTTTATATGTCTATATTCATATGATTAAGAGTTTTCATTTCCCAAATTATTAATAAAGCCATCATGGATCAGAAACTACGGGTATATAAGCCCAAATGTTAGAGGAAAAAAGGGTTGATACACATTAAGTGGAGTCGCAATATAAAGTATATGAACGTGTTGATGAAGTGTTACAACTTACAAGTGAAACTTAGAAATCAGCTCCTTTCAGCAAAGCAATTGTCTTGTTCAAACCTGACTAAAGCTTCTAACCGTAATGATAGTGAACAATAGAGATTTCCACAAGTTTAGAACACGATCTTATTCTAACAAAGACAAACCCAAAGTTGCACCCAAAAAAAAGCCAAACACAAAGGAAGAATTTCCTCGATACACAAGCAATATATATTGAAGAGATGCACAAGAAAATATTTATATCGCATTCACATATGTCTAATGATTGTATTTTGGTAAAATGAGAAGTAAATAATATCTTGTAACGGGAGGTAACTATAAAGGTTTGGGTAAAGTGAGAAGTAAACAATACCTTCGGGTGGAAGATACATTTCACGCCGGAGTTGAGGAAGAACAAAATAATCCCGAAAGAATGAGACTTTATAGGACCAATCTCAAGAGATCCAATCAGCTAATCTTCTCTTTCATTTCCTCTGTTTCTGAATCTGCAGATGCCAACAGTTGAGTCAAACAGTTAAATTGATGATAGGATTTTGTTTGTGTGAAGTGATATGAGGTGGAATGCAAACAGGGGTGAATAAAGATGAATGGTATGGTGCAATCACAATCAATCAATTCCTCTTAACCATCATAGTCATTGAAGTATAAGAGGTTATCAATCCAAAATGGGAAACTTGTCACTCTTTGAGAATATGAAACAACCAGAAAGTCAAGCAAGCAGTTATAGATTTGAAGTAACACTAACAACCTAAAAAAATGAAAAGCAGTGCAATAAAAGTAAACAAAGCAGTGAAGTGTCAGCTCGACCAAGAGCTCGAGTCGAGTAGAGCAAAGTACCAGCTCGATCGAGTTTAGGGACGAGTTGAGACAAACAAAGCTAAAGGTGACGACTTTAACAAGATAAAGAGAGAATTAGGGTTCAAGACAGGGTTTTGCAATCAAAGGAATCTACACTTAATCAATCTAGCTCTTAAAACTCCTTGTATCAAGGCTTCTCTTGATATTGGGCTTCTCAATGCCTAGCCAACCCTTTCCCAAGGTGGAGGCTATCAACCAAGGAATGATCTCAGAAACAGGGGGTTAGCCAGTGAGAATCAAACCTTGGAGGCTATAGGATCATTGCCCAAACTAATCCATCCAACCCCTTAGACCTCTATTGTCTAGAGCAAGAGATATTGGAGCTCTTAGTGGATCTTTTCCAGCGAATGCCATCACTTTCGTGTGGGGAGTCGCCTAAGGACTTACAAGCCAGGGGTAGTGGTCATGTAGCCTTAAGATCTATCCAAAAGAGAGAGAATCTAGATTAAGACCATAAGCTAGAAGGATTAAGCATATGAAACCTCTAATCTATCCCATCTCAAACCCCAATGGGTAACTACTCACTACACATGAATGTAAACACAAGCAAATGCAATAAAAGAGACATCATAAGAAAGAGGAGATGAAATTAAACAACTTTTATTGAAATAAGCAAGTGCAAATACAAGAGAGATTATCCAGGATCTAAGATTCAAGAAGCAAGAGCTTCAAGAACACAAAGATGGGATTAGATCTCTAAAAAGTAAAAGACAATAAATTAAAAGAAACTAAAACAAAAGTAATCTAAAGCTTGGTGGTTTTTTCGTGGCTTAGAGCCTTTAAATACAAAGAGGATTAGGTTTAGGGTCAAAGGAAAGTCAAGGGGGAAGCAACATTTTTCGGGTTTGACTTTGACTCCAGCTCGATCGAGTTGAAGCTTGGCCGGTCGAGTTGAGGAACTCGACCGGTCGAGCTGGTCTTCAAGATGGCTTCTCCCTTCTTCCTTTGCGTATCCAGTTGAGCTGCTTCCATGTGCCAAGTCCCTCCATGCTCCTTGTGTCCCATATGCTCCAGAATGCTCCAAAAGACCTATTTCAAAGGACCAAACATGCATATGTATGCAAATGCAACCTAAAACTAACATGAATGCATAAGAAGAGAAAAGGAACAAGATATGATGCAAATGGAAGCTAAAACTATGCAAAAGATGCATAAAAGATGTGCTAAAACTATGTAAAATGCAAGTACATCACAGTCACAAAACGGAGGCTCGCATCTTTGGTTGAGATTTGAGAAGATGAGAAGCAGAGGGACATGGTGAGTTCTTGTCTCTGTTTCAGGCAGATTTGTAAGAAGGTGAAGACGAGTGAGTGGCTTGAAGCTTTTGTGCATATTAGTGATGGAGAAATCTCTCTAGTGGAGGATCTTGGCAAGCTGAATCATGGGTTATCGTTTATGCAGCCTTGTGATGGAAGTGTAAACATAATTACTCGTCCCCCTTTTCTCTTCTCCATTGAAGCTTCTCTTTCTTTCGTTGTTTTTTCTTCAATCCAAATCCAAATTTCAGTGTATTACTACTATGTTAAAATCTTCTCATGTTCTCCATGTGATAAAATAAAAAAGATGACAAAAGATTATGGCATAATTTTTATTGATTTTTTTTTTATTATATACTGTATGATTTTTGTTTTGCCATAAAATAATTAATCGCTAGATGAAGATAGAGTTTTTAATATAATCTTTACACGTTTTGAACGTTGAAATTGCTAAAAGAAGAAGAAACAGAGTAACTGTATGGCACAGACTTTATTTTATGTACAGAGAGAACAATGGAAATATCATGTAAGACAAAGTCTGATAAGAGATCATAGGATAAAATTAAGAACTTTACTTTTTCTGAACGACAATTTTCCATTAATTAAAAACTTTAACCGGTGACAAGCGATTCAATCATCAAACCGTCGACAGAGATAAGGCTTTGCATTCTTTGCAAGAGAATCAGCCCGATTGTTCTCAGATCTGGGAATGCATGTGAACAAAAATGAGAGAAACAAAGAAGTAAGAGTGTGTAAATCGAAGAGGATTCCATAAATCTCTTTGATTTTCTCCTGCGAAATTATAGCTCGGATGAGGTCTTGGGCGTCTGATTTGATTTGGAGGGTGGTGAGACCCAAATCCAAAGCTTGGTTGAGCGCTGATCGAATAGCGAGTGCCTCCATTATTGCTGATGTGATGAAGCGTTCAGCCGATTATCCGCGGGTGTGTTCTCCGCCATCGTTGTCTATGAAGATCTATCCCGTTCCTCCGGTTTGCGTTTCTTTTCTCCATGATCCATCTGTGAATCAGATCATAGCATTTAGAGGGTTGTTGGGTGGTGTTGAGTGGATTGTGTGTAGATGGGTCTTTTGGTTGAACAGTTGTGCGATTTGCCATTCTCTTGCTTCCGATATTGCTCTGGTTATTGTTGCTTCAGGGGAGAAGACTCGCTCTTCGAAGATGAGATGGTTCCTTGAGGTCCAAATGACCCAGCAAATCCACGGGAAGAGAGGACCCGCTCCAATGCCAGTTGGTGGGAGGCAGATCCAATCTCTGGATGCAATGAGGGTTGTGGTAAAGTTGGGTAGGTTTTGGGGGTTGATGATGGTCTTGAGAGGTGCTTTGGACAAGACCTGTTGAGCAAAAACGCAATGGTGGAAAAGTTGTTCTGCTGTTTCGAGCTCACCACAGTGAATACAACATGCGTTCTCGAGTAAGCCGCGGTTGAGGAAGTTCTCTCCAATAGGTATGGCTCCTTGAATTATCTTCCATAGGAAGACCTTCATTTTTGGTGAGAATTTGCCTTGCTAGATATATGAGTTCCAATTAACTAGTGGTGGTGCAGGTGTTGTAGAGTCTCCGTTGATTTCCAAGGCATTATGGTAGCCCGTTTTAACCGAGTAGTCCCCTGATTTGGTAGGGATCCATATGTAGGAGTCTTTTGCACCTTTTATGCTTGGAACTCAGATGATGGGGTAAGAGCTTCTCTATCTTTCCTTTATTCCATCCTCGAGGTTGGTCAGTAAGGAGTTCCGATACCAGCATGTCTTTTTCTTGTAGGTTCGGGGGTCCAAGAGGCCGGGAAGGGTACTTCAAACACAGCCATGGGTCGTGCCAGATGGATGTGGTTTGTCCGCTGCCCACTGCTTTCCCCAGTTTGTGGTTTAGGAGGTCTCTTCCAATCAGGATTCCTCGCCAACCGTGAGAAGTAGAGGGTTTCACTGGGACCGTGAGAAAGTCTTCGGAGTTGCAATACTTACCCTTCAGGACTCGGGCTAGGAGGCTGGAAGGGTTGTTCAGAATTCTCCAGCTAATCTTAGCAAGTAATGCATCATTAAAACTTTCAATTTCTCTGAAACCCTATTGATCATTCGTCCTGAGGCAGCTTCATAGCTTTGGAGGATCTTCTGAAGGGTTTAACAGCTCTTCGTGTTTGTTTTGCAGAAAAACATGGTGTCATCTGCGAAAAAGAGGTGGTTTAACTTTGGGCTTCTTTGCAAGACTTGTAGTCCATGCATTGTACCGTTTGATTGTGCCTTTTTGCAAAGCTCTGAGAGAACTTCACCACAAATAATGAAGATAAATGGTGAGAGCGGATCTCCCTGTCGAATGCCTCTCTGTGGGATGACTCGTCCCTAAGCTCCTCCATTCACTAGGAAAGTATAGGAAACAGTCGAGATACATTGTAGGATCCAGTTGATCCATTTGGCGTGGGATCCCATCTTTTCCATGACCGTTACTACAAAATCCCATTCTAGCCTGCCATAGGCTTTTGCTCACGTCAGTTTTGACTGCCATGGAGCATCTTTTTGTGGCTCCGGATAATGTTTCATGTGTTATCAAAATATTATCTGCTATATCTCTTCCTGGGACAAATGCAGTTTGATTCTCATAGATGATTAGAGGTAGGATAGATTGTAAGCGGGAGGTTAGGATTTTGGAGATTATCTTGTAGTAGACATTGCATAGAGCAACTGGTCTGTACTCAGAGACACTCTTAGGGCTTAGTATTTTTGGGATTAGTCTTACATGTGTGTTGTTGATAGATCTTGGCATGATCCCTGAAGTGAACATTTCCTTGACTTTCTCGATTATCTACTGACCAATTTGTTTGGAAAAAACATGTAGAGAAGCCATCCGGCCCTGGGGCTTTCTCTGGGCTTATGGAGAAGAGGGCTGCCTTGATTTCATTTGGCGTACGATCTGCTATAAGGCTTTTATTCATTTCCGGGGAGATACAAGGTTGGATGGATTGGTTGACTGTATCAATACAGTTTGATGACCTTGTGATAAAGAGATTCTGAAAGTAAGAGTTGATTACTTGCACTATTTCTGCTTCCTCATACACTGTTTTTCCCTCTTTATCTTCAAGGATGGAGAATTTGTTAATAGTTCTTCTTCCTCTTGTTGTTGCATGGAAAAATCATGATTTCTTGTCCCCTAAAGCCAACCAGAGGACGCGGCTCCGTTGTTTCCAGTATTCTTCTTCTTTTTGGTAGGCTGATTTGAGGTTTAGGTTTAACTCTTGAATTTTCCTTTGCTCATGTGTTGGTCTATTGCCGGCTTGATAGGCTGATTTGGTGTAGGCGGAAATCCATTATCATGGATTCCCTGAGTGGGAGATTTCCGGCTTGACCTCTACCTATCAAGTAGGCTGATTTGGTGTAGCGGAAACCTCTTCATGATAATGGATTCCCTGAGTGGGGGATATCGTAGAGGTCACATTGGGAGAAAAAAAGCTCTAAAGTCTCCAAAGGAGCCTTCTGATCTGCGAAATCCCCCGGTTTTTTCGCAGTGGTCAGTGATATCATTGAAATCCCTTGTCATCAGCCATGGTGAATCTCGGATTGTCGCATTTGTGGTGAGGGTTTCCCATATCTCTTTTCTCTTTGATTAGTCAGGTTCTCCGTACACAAAGCTAGTGTTATGGTGGCGACAATGAAGTTGTCGCATGAGGAGAGTATCTCCATTTCTACTTCGCGTTTCCAGAATAGGGCTAGGCCTCCTCCTCCAGGGCTATGAGGTGGCACTAGGTAGCGGGTTTCAAAATTAGTTTGAGGTAAGTGTTTTGAGATGTACTCCTCGTTGTTTTTTGTCTCCATAAGGAAAATTATGTCGGGAGCATGCTTTTGTTGCAGCTCCTTGAGTCTATGAATTGTTATGGGATTCCCCAAACCACAACAATTCCAACTCAAGATCACTAAGGAAGAGGATTTTGCGGATTGTGCAAAACTGCTCCATCCCTTGGCTTGTTACATTCTCTCTGTGGGTGTGGTGGTAAGTCGTTTTGGTGCTGTTGTTGGTACCGAGGCCGGGGTTCAGAGCTAATCCCATTGGTTCGGTGTGAACGTACCACCGGAGGCGTTCTGTTACTGATGATTCTTGATAGAGGAGACATCCGTATCATAGGAGATTTGACTTGATTTTTTGTCTTTCTCCTGCTAGGATCGGCTTTGCATGCTTGCGGAGGTTTCTTTGCAGCTCTTGCATTCCCTTTGGTTGGTGGTCTTCCTCTTTTTTTTTCTTTAATTGACCAAGTGTTAGCTCCATTTCTGGTTCTCTGTTCACATTAGTTGTGTCTTCCGTGGTTGCCATAACTGTAGTGATTGGGGCAGAAGATTCTCTTTGGTTTGGGGTTGGGGTGGTTGTGTGGTCATTTGGTAGTTGGATCAGGTTTGCAGGCGCGACGGTTTCTTCCATTTTACCATTGTTATTGTTTTCTTGTATCCTTTGTCTTCTTGCTCCACTCTCCACCGGGTCTCCACAGTTAATATATCTTATGTCCATTTTCTGCAGGTCTTGGAGGATCTCTTCTTCCGTTTGGTATCTTGGTGGTGGAGGTGGGAAGTCAACTCGGTCTAGATTCCGACTAACCGGGGTTCTGTGTCGGTTTGGGGCTGCAAAGTTATCCTCCGCGGTTTCCTCTCTTGATTTTTCTTGTCAGACTCGGGGGCTTTGGGGGCGCCGTGGGTTTTTATCTTGTCTCTTTTGGTCATATGGAGGAGATCTTTAGGTTGGGCTTCACCATGTTCTCTCTTTCGTGGCGGCAGTTTGCCTCTTCTCAGTCCCACGGAGTTTGGTTGTGTCTTTTGTAGCTAGAGATTGTGGGGGATAGTCTCATGGAGTGAGATCTAGTGGGTGTGGTATCTCTGGGTGGTCTTCTTGTGATAGAGTTCCCATGGCTTTCTCCGTTTCTGCTTCGGGTATGAGTATGTGGTCCAACTGTTGGGGTTGTGAAGAAATGCGGTTTAAGGTGGTTTTCCCTCTCTGTAGTGGAGCTTCTCTCTTGGTATTGGGTTTGTCGATGTCTCGATTTCGTTGGGCAGTGTTCTGCCTCATGTGAGAGTCTGAAGCAGTAGGAGCAGTGTTTCTCAAGTTTGTGGTATTTTAATGTGACTAGAGCTTTGCTTCCATCTTCAAACTCTACAGTCGCTTATTTGGTGAGTGGTTTGAGTCCATCTATTTCCACTTTTATTTTTGCCGCCATTGCTGAGAGTTCATGCGTTTTGAGGTCGCCTATTTCGTTTCCTATGCTGTAGAGAAGCTCTTTCTTCCAGTAGTGGAGAGGTAGATCCTTTAGGATTATCCAGAACGGGATTCGGGAAGGGAAAGATGGGGAGATGATTGGTTTCCACCGTTGGAGGATGACCATCCTGCGTGAGTACTTGTAGGGTCTATTGTCAAGCACTTTCTTCAGGTCGTCTTCGTAGTCAAACCTGAACTGGAAGCAGTCGTTCCCAGGTTAGAGCCACTTGCCTTTCCTCTAAGTTCCCATTTGTTGGAGAAGTAAGGGAGCATTGTTCTCAGGCGCTGTTCTTGTGGGTTAGTGAGCCGTCCAATGAGAGTTAGGGCGTTTCTGGATGTAGAGCCGTCGTAGAGTCGTCGGATTGGTTCGGATTTGAGGTGGGAAGGTTTGCTGGATGTAGAGCGGTCGTAGAAAAGTTTGAAGAGCAACGGAGAAGAGGAGCTTACCAATGAGGAGGCGGACCCTCCGACTCTAAGTCGGGGTGGAACCCAGATTCGAAAAACCAGGTGCCTAGGTAATTTGAAAAAACTTTATAATTTGGGAAAACCTGAAGGGTAATAAGAAGTCAGTTGTGGAAAGACTGGGAGAGAAAATGAGACTTTATACAATTTTCTTAAAAAGGATAAAATTAAGAACGTTACATATATTGAATTTCTCTGGATATAATATTATTGCCATGTTCATTTCCAATCTCATATATGATAATAGGCTTCACTTCACTTGGGTCCATTATGCACAGAGCTCACATTTCACAATGCATGTTGTTGTTATACCTCAGGACCAGATGCGAAGAGAGGTATAAGACCACGCAAGACTTGAGCTGATAAATGGTGAGCCTCAAAGATCTCTCCATCCAAGTTCCACACACTCTCTTCCCCTATCGAAGTAAATGTGAAAGCTCTAGTCTGCATATTCCCATTACGTTTCGAGTACAGAGATATGATCAGAAACATACCATGTCATGAAGAAATTTGAACAAAAAAAAAGAGATTTCCAGACCTTATGATATTCAACAAACTCGAAGTTCAAAGGCTCCCCGCCTTTTTTCGCAAGCTCGGTGAGGTGCCTGTGTCGTAGATAGCCAAGTTATGTTGCTATATTTTATTATTCTTTCAGCAAAATTGTTCAAAGAACCTTTCTTTTGCGTACTGGAAGAAGCAAATGAGGAAGATAAGAGAGGCATTACCATAAGTACTTGGGAAGAGAGCAATCTTTGATGAGTATGAGATGAAGGAAACCGTCTGAGAGGTGTGCATCAACGACAAGACCATCAGGTGCTCTTTCATTTCGGTTTGACATCACCGCAGCACCTATACTCAGAAACCGCCCTCTCGTTCTACACCATCTTGCATTGGGTCTTGTACTTATGATTTTCCCATCCTCCGTCTTGCTGTTACAAATGCTGCATTTTGCACGGCATGGTATTTTCTCTGATCTTGTTGTATTTCGAAATGGCCATCTCTTACTCCGCGTGTGTGGGGAAGCTTTGGCGTTCTCTGCTTCAGCTTCTTCAAACATCACCTCTGCCTCATATGATCTTGGATATTAACATATAAACCAACAACTCAAATGAAACTGATTTGCTTGGAAGAAAGATAGCATAGATCGTTCCCTTAATGTTTTGCACATCTTATATAAGTGTACATAGTGAGGAAAATTACCTATGCTTCAAGAATACTTTAGTTCCAACATAATCATAGCGCTTGGGACCCATCCACCGATATTTTTCACTCTCTGAAATGACATCACCATAAAACCCGTATCTGAACTAATCAATTGCACACAAACTCTGTTAGACATCGGAGCAATCAACTGTCATATCACAGGCACTAATGGTTTACATATATTGAGGTGTAACCGTGTAACTGAAGGATGGAAAATTAACAGAATCTGCCATTCCTTGAGACGAGAATGCAAAAAAAACATTAAGGTTTAGTCATTACCCAGCAAACGAGGCTGCATAACGAATAAAAGGTTCAATCGTCGAGGTTGATGCCGTTTTCCACCGCACAACCTGCATTGCATCAAGGAAGATCTTTCTACCTAGAATGATATGCAGCGCAGATGTAATAGGATCACGAGCTCCTGTAGTGCTGTAACACGGCAGCACTAACACTAGTTTAAAACTTTTAACCTCTTTAAAAGCTAACTTTTACATTCTTGAATATATGACACACACCCATTCTTTCAAAATTTGTATGGAGCAGAAAAAGAGAAAACAGACGATAGAGATTGAAAATGCATAAGCAGAGCTAGTGCAGGATGATCTTTCCTAGTTGGAAGCATGACTATGAGGAAAGAACCCTACCATATAACTATTGCATCGGTGGAACCTGCCGGGATGAGGCCAAATCTAGGCCTTTCACCATTGAAGGGATGATCGGGACCTTCAATTCCTGCGATTGTCAAGAAAAACTGTAAAGTAAGGGATCTGATAAGAAACAGGAGTAGTTAGACTAACCAGAAGCAGACAACCAACTAACCTTCACATGACCCATTGAATGCCCCTGTAAGTTAATAGCAACACTTGAGAGATTAAAACTAGCTAACAGTCCCAGCACTTAAACAAAGATGAGACAGTTCATTTAAATACATACTGAAATTCATGACCTCTTGGTTTGAATCAGGAAGAAGAGGAAAGTGTTCTTTCTGGTCAGTCTCATGAACTGCATCTCCTGATTCTGGAACTGAGGAGCTACCTCGACTTTGAAAAGAATTGAAGGAATCTGAAGGACTTGGTGGAAGAGGGACTTTGAGTCTTGACAAAAGATATCCATTAAGGATTTCGTTGAAGAAACCATCCCCACCCTAAACAGAAATTGATTTTTCAAGATATCAAAATAATGGAAAGCAGGAGTGGGAAAGCTTCATCAACTTGACTAGTAAAATGTTTTGAATTGAAGCTAGTGCCACATCACAAAAAGACAAACAAATTCAAAAAGCACAGAACAAATCAACCATTATCAAAAGAAGTACTTTGGGTCATCGAAACATAGCAAAAAGAAAGTCTACAACTTACAACAGCTATGATTCCATCATACAAATGGAGCTCTTTGTTTTGAATAGATGCCATTACATCAAATGCATGTCCTGCTCGTTCTGTCAAAACCACCTGATTTCAATGGTAAATCAAGAATAACAAACTAAGGACCATAGAATGGACAGTGAGAAAAAAACGTTTATGGGTCTTTCTCTATGAGAGCTATCAAAGAATAACCTATACCAACTAAAATGATAATTCCCTCAGTGATGACATTAAAAATAGCGACCTTTGTATTAACTTTAGCAAGATTGAAGATCTTGGAAACAGTTTCCCAGATCTTGGAGCCATTTCCTTTGCCACTTTTTGGATGGACAAATACCTAAAACAAAAATGGCAAGCAGTCCTGTCAAAGCATTGATATAAGCAGGAGAAACAGAGTAATAGAAAAACGTGACACAAAAAAATAACCAAAAGATGTCTTGGTCTTTCGATTTCCTTGATCAAAGAGTAATTCAACTGATCCATCCAGCTCTGGCACGTCTGCAAATCCGTATGGCCAAAAGTGAATGTCGCAAGTTTCCAAAGACAAGGCTCCTTTGTTGAACTTTGAAATCCGTGCACAGTGAACCGATACATCTACATGAAAGCAGAACCTCATCACACACTGTAATCTCCAGAAGAAGAAGAAGAAAAACAACAAACGGGATAAAAAAAAAATTCAAAACGAAACCTCTCGAGTCTTTAACAAGCGGCATTCTTTGGCATGCCTAATTCCTAACTTTGGACTATGCACCACACCATAGTTAGCAAACTCCACAGCATAAATATCAGAGAATTTGATCTCTGTTTTCAGATTCTCAGAATTTCTAATTCCCAAACAATTCCTTCTCTCCTGAAAAAGGAAAAGAGACCTCAATTGATTTTGTTTCTCGTCGCAGCTCCAACATCAACACTAGTATGTAACAGAGACGACAATTGATGCACATATGATTGAAATATAGGTCAACGAACACAGTCGTCGGATATATAACCTGAGGAAGCATGAACATATAACATGATCGACAAATCTTACACAATCTGAAGAATCCAGAAATTTCCAGGACAAAGCATCTTGATTCCGAGTAAGCAAAACTTCCCCAGCGTGGTCCAAGAAGAAACAACCGCTCATGACTGACGATTCACAGTCGCGATCCACATTACTGCCGCCGGAATCGTCGTCGAGCCCAGATATTGCTTCAGCTTTCGTGATTTTAAAGAAAAAAAAAGTAAATCAAATCATCCCTAATATATTAAAAAGAAAACACTATCAAAATAACCTTTATCTCATGTGTTATTAACAAGAGTGTCATTGCTTAGGTGTCATCACTCTCAGCTCAACTTTTAAATAAGACAACATTTACTAGAAAAATTACAATATATGTCATTGCATATTATGCTTACCATCCCTTTATTATTATTTTCTTTCCTTAAATGGCAATTACGAAAATAAGTAAATAAGGAAGATATGAAATTCCAATTGATTTCTATCATAATATTTTTTTTAAATCACTATATATCTTCTATCATCTTTGTTTAACTTTATTTTATAAAATAATATGAATCATCATATAAGAAAACTAATAAAGAAAATCTAAATTTTTTCTGAATATGCTATGATTTGAATTTTTAAAAACAAAATAATGTAAATTGTTTAGTATATAACCTCATTTAGTAGGTATCAAGCAGCTTCATATTATTTTTATTCCATTTAATATGGTTTTTAATTAAATTCTATAATAAAACTGAATAATTTTTTTTAATAAATTTTTATTTTGATTAAAAATTTGAATATTACTCCATCTATTTCAACTTTCATTATAAAGTTAATTATATTTTTATTGTTTTAACAATTTAGATTATGCAGATTGTCTTCTTATTGGTTGGATTGTTTTGAAATTATAATAAAGCATGTTTTAATTTTGAAAGACAGAAAAAAATCCATATTTTAGTTTTGAAAGAAAGAAAAAAAATGGTTTTAATCCGTGTTTTAGTTTTGAAAGAAGGAAAAAAAATTAATTATAATCCTTTTGAAAAAAAGGAAAAAATTGATTTTAATCCGTGTTTTAGTTTTAAAAGAAAAAAAAAATTAGTTCTAATATGTGTGCACACAGCTAAGACTTCTTATCTTATGAAATACAGTATAATTTTTTTGTAAAGAATAATGTTTTATTTTCACATTTTTTGTTTTTTAAACTAACTTATTATACTGTAGTCATTTGAGTTTTATGTATCTCGCTTAAATCTATCATATTTAATATATGGCTACATCCAAGACTTTAATCTATTTACCTTTTTAAAAAATAGTAGAAAATGCTTGATTTTCATATTATAAACGAATAAACGAAGACAATAATCTAACAAAGATTAAAAATCCGTCGCATAAAATTTTGAGATATATTTAAATAAACATCTTTTAATAAAAATACAAATTCAGAAACCATCACCCGTGCAGGGCGCGGGTCAAACCCTAATATCTATTATAAAAGATGGTGAACTCTCTTCATATGAGAGACACGTGGCAGTGTCTTCCTTCAAATAAAAAAAGTGTGGCGTTTCTTTTCTATTTAGATTTTTTACATTTTCGTTTAATGTCCCTAAAACATATTTTATTACAAAAAAATCCCTCAAAATCAAACTGATTTCGTTTTGTGGCGCCACCCGAATGCGCCACATCTGCCTCAGCCACCCCAATCGTTGCCGCCGGCGATTTCCACATCGTCTCTTTCGCCTATCACCACCAAAACCACCACGCAAACTACTATATTCGCGACGCAGATGAATGATCCGCCATTAAAGAACGTTACGGCAAGGGAGGCACTTGATTTTTCAATGAAGGATCCGCCATTGAAGATCGTTGCAGCAAGACAGGCAGACGCTCCTAAATGGATCTCCAATCTCTGCCGTCTCAAACCATCTCTCGGAGGAGCCACCGGTGCTCCTATATGGACAGTCCACCCACTGTCACCATCGACCAATCTCGGCCGTCGCGAGATCCAAGTCACAGATCCGCCACTCAGGGTTGGATTTTCTGCCGCGATGACGTCGTTGATGTTCTCTCTGGTCAAGAATAGCCTGACGGCTCCGGTCTCCACTTTGACTTCCGCCGTCTCCGTACCAACCGTCTCCGGTACCCTAATGGGCTCTCTCTCTTTCTCATTTTCCGTCAGCCCATTAGAGCCCAATAGGTAGTTTGTTTAACATACTCATACACCACCAACCAACGAAATAATATTTATTTTTTCTGCAACGTTTTATCTTATCTTTTTTTTTTTTGTCTCATGGCATTCCTTTTTTTTTTGTTTGGTAATCTCATCACATTCCTTTTGATTTATTCTCTCTCACTTTACTTAATTTGTTCATCAAATTTTCATAGAATTCAAATATCCTTCTTCTTTTTTCCCTAATTGCAAGAGATCATATTTCTAGAGGAAATGCTTCGACTTCCCTTCCATACTTCCATGGACATACTCAGCAGCGGAACTACTCCACTCTCCACTCTCCGTCACCCTGATCAGACCGCGGCCGAAGTCGCTGTCGATACACTCTACAATCGTAGCCCTCTTCGTTGCCATGATATTGGTTAGTTTTACATGCTCATGATCTATTTCAAACACTAATTTGTATAAGTTCATATACACAATAGATTATTCATTTGATGAATACAGCCCAATGTTGGCATCAATCTCTTTCAAAGGTGCGATTGAGAAAGTTCAAAACATTTTGGCACAAGCGATGAGTTTAAGGCGGCTGTATCAGCTGCGAAGCAAGCAGTTTCGTTCATGGAGAAACACACCGATTACTACTCCGCAGCGCGTTATGCTGAAGTTTCAAGAGCTTATACCCAAAATATGGTGACAAAGATCTACTTGGTTTTAGTTCGTTTTGCTTTTGACATGTTTTTGAGTGAAAGTTTTGATCTTTCTGCAGGACAAACTTGCTATGAACATTACGACCGAGCAAAGGAAGACCTTGAAGGATGCGCATGGTGATATCTTCTGTGGACTAGGTTAGCTTTTATTTGCAGGTTTGATTATATGATTGACAAGGAGAGAAGAACCTTACCCTACTGTTTTTTTGGGTATTTGTTCAATCACACAGAGGTTGTGGAGCATGCGTGTGGAATGGCGACACTACAGATGGGTGAATATGTGCCTAATGTATCGAATGGAGTCAATACGTATAGTGTTAGGGAGCCATTTTGTGTTTGTGCTGCCATTTGTCCATTCAACTTCCCAGTTATGAGTCCTTTATGGGTAACATGCTTAAGCCTTTTTACATTAGTTCTCTCTATGGCTTCATTTACGTTCAACATGTATTACATATGTATATCCGTAATTCTTTTTTATTCTCCTCTGTCAAGTCTTGAGTACTTATTCTGTGTTTGTTAATGCAGATGTTTCCCGCTGCTGTGACATGTGGTAATACCTTCATTCTAAAGCCATCAGAGAAGGATCCTGGTAAGTTTCTCAGTAACTAATGGACGCTCCTGTGATGTTTAGTTGATGTATCGGAAGTTCATTGTATAAAAACTTTCGATCATGTCTTTACATATCATTGATGCCAGTGTGCATAGATCTTACTATCTAGGCCAATGTGATGAGCTGATTGCTCTTAGATCTATCACATTTTTAAAAATGTTATTGGATGACTGTTGATTCACTATCAATAAAAGTTCCCTCTGTTGATGTGGTATGCTTTTTGTGAAACCGGTTGTTGACAGTACTTGCTTTCACCAGTGCTTCTGTAATGCTTGCTGAGTTGGCAATGGAAGCTGGATTACCTGATGGAGTTCTCAGTATCGTTCACGGCAACAATGTATGTTTTGTTTAAGTTTCTTCTCTTGCTCATGTTAGCTATTTGTAAGGATTTGAACTATTGTAGTTATGGTCCTTAATTTGTAAAGAGTCTGCACTATTACCTTTTCGTTCTTTGTCAGTAATATAACTACATCTATACATTTCAGGATACTGTCAATGCTATCTGTGATCACGAGGATGTAAGGGCTGTTTCTTTTGTTGGCTCTAACACTGTAAGTATTTTTAATTTTGTTTCTACTTTTTTAGTCTGAAAACTTGGTTTTGTGTTTCATTTTCTACATTAAGTTACTTTTCATTTGTTCATATTATACTAACTACCTTTTCATGTTGACTTCGCTAAAGTTCAGTGATTCTTTAGGCTTTTGTGTGAAGCTGGGTGTTCAGAAGAAAGCTTTAGTGGATCATAGTAGTTTCTTTGCTAAGAAACTCGCTGCGAAAGACTCGGTTTTCGCTTGTCTTGAGATTGAGAGCTGTGAAGACGCAGAGATATACGTTGAGACTATTGGTCTTATGTATTATAAAGAAATGAATCAACGTCTCATGAAACAGAACGTAAGCAGAGTCCTTCGTGTCCTCAAGGTATTACATCTAAATTCTCGTCTAATCAATCTCATTTTGGCGTTGATGTATCATAGAAGTGACTAAATTTGGTAACTTTAAGTTGCAGAGGTTCTTGGTTTCAGTTCATGTATTCAATCTTATTTGGATTACTTAGAAGCTGTGCCATGGGTTGGAGAAGAAGAAGAAGAGAAAGTGATCTCATCGATTCTCAGATTGAAAACCGAAGGAGTTATTGGTGTTGTCACCACCACTCCTGTGCTCAAAAGAATTGCTTTCAGTGCTGCTGATCCACCAAAAGAGACGCTCTCTCGCATCATCGAGCTTGTTCTAAGAAGCAAAGAGGAGAAGAGTCGCGAGAGATGAAAACTATCGTCCTGAAGCTTCTTCTCAGGGACCAGAATGGAGCCAATGTATAGCTGATATCTTCAACGAAACAATCTACACCTCTTGCCAAAACTGTTTCAACTCTGTTTCGTCTCTGTTTCGACAAGCAGAGACCGATACCAAACTAATTGCTGTGGAAGCTGATAACTTGACGTCGCTGCTCGATGTTTTAGCGGAGAGACAAGCTGCGGAGGAGTTCTCAGTGACAAAAGGAGCTTTCTTTGCTACACGAGAAGCTTCCTTCGATGTCGCGTTACCATATAAGCCTTGTAACGTCTCGGCTCTTCGTAGGGATCGGAAGAGGAGAGTTGTTGCTTTCGAAAGACACTCAGCTTTTGCTGTTGAGCATGTGGTTGCAACTGTTGTTTAGTGATTACAATTGGTTACAGTATAACATTAAATACTGGGTTTCTTCAATTTTTAATTACAATTGGCAACTCTCTAATGTGGGAACACATGTTCTCTCTAATGTGGGAACACATGTTCACTCTAATGTGAGGACTTCGAACCCTTCATATAACATTAAATACTTGGTTTCTTCAATTTTTATTATTCACATGTTTAATTATTAAATATCTTTTTTTGGAAAAAAACCACATAATTTTGAAAATTGATTTAGGTCTTTATAGGTGAAGTTTATCTTAAGATTTTTGAACAATTTACAAAAAAAATATTAAACAAAACAGAATTACTTTTAAATGTAATAAAAGAATATTGAAAATCTGATAATTTTTTTTTTAAATAACACAATATATACTTCAGTATAATAAATAGTATGTAATTAATAATTCTATAATAAACATATTTCATTAAGTAATTGAATCTCAACTCCTAATATTTAATTTTTTTAGGATTTCTGACTTTTCATTTTCGAATAATATATGCTATAATATAACGATAATTTTGATTTCGATCAAATTGATTTAGAGTCAAATATTTCTTTTTTTTCTTTAGTATACATGATTTTTTTTTATTCTAAAAATGATGTAAGCACACAATTAGTAGGAAAAAAAAAAGATAGAATAAATTTTAAAGGTTATAGCTTATTATATAGGGTATATTGAGACAAAGAAGACAATTATTTTTTCCTTTTTTCGTAAGAAAATGGAATATTTTTATCTTATAATATAAAACCTGCAAAAATATTTTGTCATTCTTCATTTAGAATGTAGAACCTTTTTTATCTTAAAACATGAAGTATGCAAATGTTTTTTCCTTTTCCGTTAGAATATGGGAAATATAATTTTATTCTTTATCTTGGTAAGATATTGAAAATATTTCTTTTTCCCTTTTCCGTTAGAATTTGGATCTTTTTTCCTTCAAATATAATGTATGCAAAGAAAAAAAAAATCTTTTTTTCTGTTAGAATATGGAACCTGTTCCATTTTGTTTTTCATTTTTTTTTCCAGTTTTTTCCTTTGTTCGTTAAAATATATAGGGTTTTTCCTTTAAAATATAGATTTTCCCCCTTTCTAATACTGCATCTTTTTAATTAGCTTTATTTTTATATTTCTTTTGCAAAATACATGTCACGATCTTAATAAGACTAAAATTAAAATTGACATATGTCGAGATACTATGAATTATAAAAATCCTGCATGTTGCAACCACGTCGGGTGAATGCAGCTTTATATAATAAGATACCTCATAACTCATAAGTAAAGCATGTTATCAGAAAACGCTATATATCTACCGAATTAATCTTATTAAAAATAAAATAAAAATCCTTTAAAATAGAACAATTCCTGACTTTATATAATCTTAAGTTATGAACATAAATCAAGTTTGAAAATCTTCATTTATAATTTTTTATCATAAAGTACCCACTCTATAAACATTTCAAGTAAATAGTACGGTAACTATATAAAAATTAATCAATTTAATTTAATTAAACTGTCATCATTTGACGAAATTCAAGAAAATCAAGAACTCCATTACTATTGATGCAGTAAAACCTTGCTTCACACTCTCCGTAATTTTACTTTCCCAACTTCAAAAGCATCATTTGCAATTATGCAGCCTTTGGAATATAACTATATAAAAGATAAAATTGTCAGAATTCAAATGAAAATTAAAATATAAGTAAGAAAATTTTGTAATAGTCACAACCCGCGCATCGTGCGGGCTAAGCCCTAGTATATATGAATAGTGGCCGCCCCTCTCCAGATTTATGACACCTAAAAGCATGAGAATCTGACAAGTGTACACACAAGATAATCATTCACACAATCTCATAATCTACATAACTAATAAGGCTTGGACAATCTCCAGCCTTTGACACGTGGCACTCTCTTTTTTTTTTTTCGCCTAACACCAAAACGACGTCGTTTTGCGCTTTTTTTTTTTTTGTCTTACACCAAAACGACGTCGTTTTGCGCTTTATCTTTTTTTTTTTCGTCTTACACCAAAACGACGTCGTTTTCGTATTAAAAAAAATATAATAAGAGAGTGTTCTCTCCATCTAGCCTATCCACATCAGCCAAAAATCCATTAAATTATATTTAAGAAATTTAATGTATGATTATTCATATTTCTTTATATATATAATCCAAAAAAATACATAAAATATAATAAGAAAAAGATATATATAAAACTAAATTTCATGTATATAGATAGTGTATGTAGTAAAATTTCATGGAAAATGTTTAAATGTTGAAAGCTAGCAGTTAAATTTAAGTAATAAACATAAGTTATATATAAAACTAAATTATTGATTTTAATGTTACAAAAAAACTAAAGTATTGACTATTTCTAACATTAAAAAAAAAAGCACTCAATTTTTTTTTTATAAATATTTAATAAATAAACATGAATATCATATATACAGAACAATACATAAAGGAAAAACATTAAAATAACAGTTTATAAAGTATATAAATGATAATGAACAACCAAAAATATATGCAAACAACCCCGCACTTGCGCGGGGGTATAATTCCTAGTTATTAGAGTAAGAGCTAAAAACGTCAATGCTTTTACTTTTCTTCTTCAATGAATCTATTACTAATAAAAGTTGAGCCTATATGCATTAGAGGGTGTCCACCTAGGATTTTAAAACTGTATTTAATTGATTCATGTCATTATTATTAATTTTTTTTAGTTGAATAATTAATTTCCTTTTTATTCTTATTAGCAAATTTCCTTTTTATGCAAATTAGCAAATTTCCATTCTTTTAATATCCATTTTTTTTTTTATTCCAATAAGTATTATTATTCTAACATATAACTTTCGTAAATTTTCTATTTTACAAATATTTTATTAATTAGATTTTAATAATAAAAATTTTTATATAGTTTATCTAATAATAAATGACATTAGAAGTTGTCTTTTATATTAGTGGAAAATTGATTAAGAAGCCTATACCATCTATTATGGCACATTCAATCATTCATTTTGATGAAATCTCAGACTTAAATATCTCTATTAAGCAGTTTTTCATGGCAAATATACTAAGTAGTTAGATAAATAAATTTCTTTTTTTTTAGCAACAAGGTGTTGTGGTGTAGCAAAAGGAAAATGAGAAATTTAATTTGATCGGTACACATTCTTAAAATAATTTCATTTTATTTGTTATTATGATATTTCTTTAATACTCAATTCTATTTTTATTCATATTAAAGTGTTTAGAAAATAGAAAAAATAAGATTTCTAATGACATAAAAAGGAAAATTACTTCTTATTTTTTTTTTTTAAATTTTGTCTAATGGATGTTTGGAAATTATTAGAAAGATTTGGGGTTTAGGGTATTATTTATGCTTAAAACATTATGTTATAAGGTATATATTCCTATGATACGCCGATTCAAATAATCAGAGACATAAAATCCCTAAATTAAAGAGGAAAAAAATTTAAAAATGTCAACTTATTCCCATATGAATGCTTTCCTTTTTCTTTTCCTTTTCCTTTTACTTTAATAAATAAATCCTATAATAAGGATATTGGTAAAATACCTGCTTGCTTGACAGTTATAAGAAATCTTTGATGGAAGAGAGTCCGACCAATTCACATGAGAGCTTTACTTGTAGGAGAAGTAAGATCTGATGCAAATCAGTGTTCAATGAGAGCTTCAAAGGCTGAAGAGATTAGTGGGAGTTTCTGGGGGATTGATGGTAAAGCGAAAAGGCAAGACGAGAGGACGCTTAGCTGCAAGTGGCTTCACAGGAGTAGGAGATGGTCGGTGACTTGGCAAAGAAGCAAACTCATCATTATTACCAGAAGAAGTATCACCAGTAACAGCGGCAAGAGCAGGAAGTTTGGGCCATGAGAAACTCGCCACAGGCCTGCAGAGTCTGAAACCAGTGTTGCTTATAAGTGAAAGTGGTGATCGTTGTTCTTGTTTCTTGCCCTTTTCTCTGTTTCGAGGTGACTCTGTGACTTGGTTTCTCTTGTTCTTCACTTCTTCTAGTGTCTTCAAAGTTGGTGAATCCTCGAGTAGCAGAGGTGTCTCTGTTGAGTCTGGCTTTCTAGGATAGTTCTCGTCCACTGTTTTCTTAAGCCATCCCATGTCTTCCTGCATTTGGATTCATCAAAAGACAATTACATCATTATCTTTATCCAGCAAAGTTGTAGTAGACCCATTTTACATGGAATTTACTGCTCTCCTCTAAGGGAGTTTCTTGATATCTGCTACATATTAAGTGTAGTTTCTGAAATTCGTTACTACAAGATATAAAATTTAGAAGATTTTAAGCTAAAAGAAGTAGCAAGAAGATTGTTTGCGTCAAGAAACTAAATCTAGAAATATGAATACCTCCATTTGACGCAAGGTTTCTGCAACAATCACTAGCTGGTCCTCGATTTTGTATTTCTTCTTCAGCAGATCAGCGTACATTTCCTGAGATGAAACAGCAGAGATGTTCACAAAGTAGCACAAAACAGTAGTCGGTGTAGTCATGACAACAAGATCTTTACCTTTGCTGGAGTCATCAGATTGTCATGGTCTACGTTCTGACTAGTAACACAAGAATTAGGTGTAGTCATGACAAGAAGCTCGTCCTCTTCCTTCTTTGAAGCGAGTTTCTCAAATTCACTTCCCAAGAGCAAAAGACAGACATGAGTTACAATTTGATATAAGACAACAAATGCAGAGAGATGATATATCATATCATATAAGTTCGAATTCTACCGTTTCAGGCTAGCTAATCCATCTCTGATCTCACGGATTTCTCCAGCACAGATAGGATCTTGAGTAGGATTATCACCAAGCTTCCAACCAGGTGGAGGAGTCCAATAAGGATCTTCAACTCCTGCTTCTTTCCTTATGCGAATCAAATCAGCACTCTCCAACCAATACTCCATTGCTCCATCTGCATTGTGTTTTCTCCTAAACCTGTCTTGACCTCCAGGAGCCACCTTACCCGCCATGTGCTTAAGGAGATGATCTAATAGACCCGTGTCTCCGATCAGCTTCCTCGCTTCCGACGTCAACTCTGACCTGAGTATGGAGTTGCCAAACACTGCGTTTTTCTCCTTCATCACTTTTAACATGTTCCTCTCAGCTAGTTTGTACCTTTCAAATTCCAAAATTAGCTATAAAATCAGATGAATCAAGTGAAAATCAACCTTCGGAGATGATCAAATTCGTTAAATTTATGTTCTTTACCTCTCAACAGACCATCGATCAATAAATTTCTTCGCTGACTTCCTCGTATAAACCACGATTTGATTCTCCTTCTGCTTCTGAGCACTATCAGAAACCTTGGCCCTCTGAGCGAGTCTCTCAGTCCTGGATTCAATCAACTTTCTCTTACGGGTTCCATCATCAGTGCCTTCTGTTTCATTTCCATCGTCTTCCTCCTTGCAGGTCTCTTCTTCTTCATCTTTCAGTCTGGGATTTTCCTTCTGCCGGCTCTGGTACCGCACGCGCAATCTCCTCCCCCACTTGATCATTCCTCTCGATCCAGACCAGCACTTTCCCACCGGTGAAGCCGCGCGACAGAGTCTAGTGTTGTACGCCGGTTGAGGAATCGTTTCTCTGCGTGAGAAATTGTTCCTACGAGAAGAAGCAGCAGAAACCCAAAAACTCCACGAATTTCTTTTGACAGAAAGTTCGTGAGGTGCGATTCTTCTGTAAAGCAAATCTCCAGCTAGCTCCGATGACATCACATGGCTCTCGTCCAAAACGGGAAGAAGACTACCACTCCTCTTCTCCGAGTTACTCCGATTCATTTTGCTGTTACGGCTGCAATCGAAATGCGATCTGAGCGAGTACATGCTCGGGTATCGGAGAGTCACGTCGCGTGCCGTGATTTTGCCGACCTGCAACAAAAATTCCGACGAAAAGCCAGAGCGATAAGAAGAAATCAGTCTTAAAACCCAGAAGAAGAAAACGAAACCCGTCTCAAATTAATGGTGGGAAAACAGAGAATCCATTAATACCATGACGACTCTGATCGATTTAAGTTGCTCCGGCGATCTCTGAGGGAGAATCGAGGAATCGATTTCGTAGTAAGATCCGGCTCGTATGTACGCGACCGCAACTGTACGGAGAATAAGACGAAAAACGAAGAATTAGAGGAGAAAGCGAGAAGATTAAAACAAGAAACAGTTGCTTCAGTTTACCATTGACACACGGTGGCGGCGGAGAGTTTTTCCCGGCGGTAGCTTCTCTGATCGGATTCCTTTTCACGAACATCGCTTCCACTTTTTCTGGGTGAATCGAAAAGGGAACTGTTAGAGGAAAATCAATTTTTGCCTGGAGAGTATATATTTGAAAAAGCTGACACTGGGATTAACAAGAAAACTCACGCGCTTTCTGACACGCGCGTGGGAGACACAAATTCAACAGTATCATCAATGATAACGATTTTACTTTTTTATCATCATGAGAGATAGAGAGAGCAAAAATTCACAGAGCGAAAACGTTTTTTTTGTTTGGGGAAATGAAAGAGATTCTGTAGACAGTTTTTTTTTAGGGTGCAAATGTTAAGGATTTTGTAGATAGTTGAGTGAAATGAGAAATTAAATCATCGAAGAAAGTTTACAAAATAAGACTCAAAAGAGAAAAGAAACAGAAATACATTATGATATAATTAAATCATAGAAACCCAGAAAATTACGACTAGTTTTGTTCTTACCCAGAAAACTTTTCTCTGCAGAGAGTTTCTAGTGAGCAAAAGAAAAAGAAAAGTTTCAAAATGTCGCATTAATTAAAACCTGGAGGTGCTTTATATATGCAGAAGAGAGAGACAGTGTATACTGTGCGTGTGCATGTCACGTGAGTGAATATCTTCCGCTCCAAGTTGGCTGGCTGGCACAATTGACATATTTGCCCTCAAACTGTCTGTAGCTTATGCAACCGTGCTCGTGCGCGCGTTTTATTTGTCTGTGCTCATCTACAAGGAAAGGAAAAACTGTCACACGCAACAATACCATGGATTGATGCCACGTGTTCATTTATTAAATTCTGAGATTTTTCGACGGTGATATAATTTGCTGGAAAATGGATTTAACCGTAGTGAATAAAAGCATTGTGCTCAGTGTGGTTTTTAAGATGTGTTACACGCGCGCGTGTGGCTATCACTCTCGTATTGCCTACTACTCTACTAGTGTCCTCCCTCCGTAGAGTAGGGATATCTGATAAATATTTTGTCAGAGATATCTGATACGTATAATCATAATCATTGTTATGTTTTGGCAAAAACAAACTTCGAATTACAAATTTAATTACATTTGTTTTTCTTCCTTACTGGTGAAATGAAATATCCATTTTTTTGTTATTCCGTTTAGCATAAGCATTGATGTCTCTGATCTATCAACCATTTTTTTCCTTTTTGGTTGAACTAGAATCTATCTCAATTCACATTAAAACTCATGAAATTTATATATTTGAAAGAATTTAATCGAATAAAAACAAACTAGCCGAACGACTTAAATGTTTCGCAGAAAAAAAAAAGGAACTTTTATTCCATTGTTGCTTCTTTAATCATACTAGATTTAGACCTCTTTACCATTTTTTGCCGGAAACAAATCATACTAGATTTAGACCTATGCTATACTGCGGGATTATTATTTTTGTTTTTATTTTCTGTATAACTTTTAGCTGTTTTCTGCCGAAGTCTATCTTCACTCATCGCAACTTTCTTAGGTTTTTATGTTTTGGAAAAACTTTATCTCAACTTTCGAACTCGGACATATGTAAACCGTTCTAATCAAGTCTATATGCAGATTGGACAGAGATGACCAACTTCATAGACAGCAACACTTTGTAATAGTTTTTCTAGCTCTTTTACTGGACAACCTATTAGAGCGGGACAACTACAGATGGTTACAACATGTGTAAATCCTTGCAATGCAATTGATGATTGTGCAGGGGGTAATGGTAAGCCTAGTTTGTCTCTACGCTCTTAATGTTAAAGATAAATTATTCTCGGCCTATTGAGTATTTCATAAACTCTTATGTATTACCCAACATACTTATTATATCCCTTTTGATAGGAACCAAATCATTGGTTGGACACATATCGCTTCTCCCAATAATATAAGAGTTAGTCTAAACCATTGTAAAAATTCTTTGACTTTTCCGCTGTTTAGCTAGTCAATAATGGACAGCAGAGTCGGTTTCTCCTGAGTCAAGAGAAATCCTTGTTGACAGGCTAAACAACGAAAAAGTCAAAAACCCTTTTGCAACAGTTTATACTAACTCTTATACTACTGGTTGAAGGGATTATTTGTCCAATCAGTGATTCGGTTCCTATCAGGAAAGAAATAATAAGTATGTTGGGTGATGAAGAAGAGTTTATGAAATACCCATGGGGCCGAAAATCATTTCTCCTTAACATTAAGGGCGGACATACAAAGTCTGCTTACCATTAACATTCACAATCATCGGTTGCATTGCAAGGATTTGCACATGTCGTGATACTTGTAACCATCTATAGTTGTCCCGCTCTAATAGGTTGTCCAGTAAAAGAGCCATAAGACATATTACAGTGATTCGGTCTATGAAGTTGGTCATCTTTGTCCAACCTGCATATTGACTTGATCAGAATGGACAAGTAAGTTTCATGTGTAGCAAAAGACTAAAGTTCCAAATTTTAAATTTCTTTTATAGATTCAAAATCTAAATTATACTATACCTTTTGTGTGTGTATTACAATCTACCTTTTGTGTGTGATTACTGATGGGAGGAGTCACTATACTTCTTAGAGGTGTTTGATCCTGCAGTTTTAAGGTTGATGCAATAGCAGATAAACACAAGTTTAAAATAAACTCATAGAGTGGTGGGGTCACCTTAAATAAGGATTTAAGAATTTTCTCAGGGATTTCTCAAGAATGCTGATGAGGCACTGATCGAGGAAACGACGCAGGACCAAGCTGCCCATCAACCTTCAAGGAGCCAACACATGGCTAGGATGTCACTGTAGAACTTGAAAGAATATTTCAAGAACGAGCTGTGAGAATTCAAGGACAAGGTAAGGGACCAGAAGGATGAGATAAATAACCTGAATGACAAGATAAAGGACCTTTAAAACGAGAGGATGTACAACAGAGGTGGTGAATGGTTTGGTGGTCATCAGGTGCGTGCTATGTAATGCACATGCTATTATTTCAAATAGACGTCTCTATTAACGTAGAATAAAGTATGATGGTGCGACACTACGCAGGAAAAAATTTCTTGGAAGCCAGGAGTCCTGTAACGTTACCTGCACAGTGATAAAACGTTGGAAACACACCACTTCAGACCAATTTGGGAGTCCAAAGCGAGATAGTAAGTACTCATACAGAAACAGAAATCATGGAATCATGGATGTGACACAGAGAAATCATCATGGGATACCTCTTGTGCAAAGGAAAGAAAGGGTTAAGAGCAGTAGCAGCAAAAGAAAAGAAAAGTTGCTGATAGACGAAAGAAAAACTATTAGCTGCAACCAAGTAATGATCAAGAACAGCAGCAGCCAAGGGAAAGTAAAAGAAATGTTTCTGATAGAGTGGAAATCAAGTAGAAGGTAGCAGCAGTATCACAATGTGGACGCATTAAAACGAAACATACTTATATGGAAATGTGATTTTTAACCATCAAGGCCATCAGTCTCATCTAGTTGTTTATGTGTCTCTATCTTTCATTGATTTGTGTTGAAGTAGTGAGTTGAATCTTTGTCTTTGGTTGGACTATGACAGAAGAAAAATTTGATAAGGTTTAATTTGATGGTAGATCTTGTTTTTGGTTGCAGTACTTTGCGTTCTCTGTTTGTCCTCTTCATAGTTTCCTATGCTTTAAAGATTTTGAGGATCTACCACGTGAACAGCTTCATTCTTTCACATAATCAGGTTTTCTATTGTGTTAATTTTAGCCGTAAACTTGCATGGATAATCGTCACTGAAATTAGAGAATATAGCCCTTCATTTATTCTCCTAGAAACGACTCCATTTCACATTCACAAGGTGATTCGCTATTAATTTTGTTTAAGGAGTATCTTGCATTAATCCATGTATATTTTAAAGTTATGGACCCAAATCATTAAAAGCAAAAGCTTATCCTCTAAACCATACATGTAGCATTGTTCATCATCCTAGGAATTGAGCAGAGACATGAGTTTCCTAGTGCTAGCTGATTTAGTTTGACTTAGTTTTCCCCTTGAACCTATTTCGTGGGATCTCCAATCGGTTAGGTAGGATTACTGTCAAACCTCCTTTTAAATAATATTCCCTCTGTCCCATAATATAAGCTGTTCTGGCATAATGAATCTGCAATTTTCTGGATGTATCTGGATGGAAATACATCCAGATACATCAAAAAAATTACAGATACATTATGCCAAAACAGCTTATAATAGAGGGAGTAGGCTTTAAACTCATTCCTCTTGATGATTATACAATTTGATCTTGTGACACACCTTTAATTGGATCCTAGGTTGTCATTCAAGTAAATATAATCTATTAAGGTTAATCAATTTGAGATCAATTGTTGAACATTTTTAGGTGGTGGCATTGCAACTTTTGATATGTACCTCCACACTTTTAGTTTTAGGTATTTGTTCAAATGTATTTTACCTTTTCAAAGTTCATATGACATTTTATATGTGACTTAATGTGGTAGGCAATGCTTTTCCCTCACATGCATTTCTTGAGATAACTCAAAATTATACTTTTTCCCTCATCTTAGACTTTTCTTAGTTTAAAAACTGGTCATAAAGATAAACTTCTCATCTTACTATGTTTAAACTCCTTCCCACAATTTTATCTAGCTTTAGTCATGTGTTTACAGCATTAGGCACTAACATAACATGTTAATAAATATCAGAACTTGATACAATTACAAGTGGAAGATCATTATCAAAATAAATTTGGTGTGTCAATTCACTAAACTTGTTACCAATAATCCATTCACCGTTAACAAATGGTGTCAAACATAATCATGAATGGTAGACCACTCCTAATATGAGTTATCAACTCATTTGAGTTTTTACTAATTAAAATATTTTTGTAAATGTTTTAATTTTTGATAATACTTTTTCATTCATTTTCCATACACATCTAACCTTTTTTTCTCCTTTCAGATCTCGCATATTGGAAGCATAATAGAAAAGGATATAAGAAGATGCAATACAAAAATATGCACACACGGAAAAAAAAATGATGTTCACGATGTACATATATTATATATAATTAGGGAGTTGCTCTCTCCATTTGAGA